TATCCTCCCCCTTCATCCCCCCCCCAAAAAAAACCCAACCACCAAATGACCAAATGTAAACCTTAGCTCCCAAACAGACTACAGCATGGAAGGTTTCTGCATTGGTCACAAAACGTTTCTAAGCCAGTAGGTCACAAAGGTTCCTCAGGGGACAGAGACATTTTCTGAGCTCGGGATAATTTTTGAACATCAATTTAACCTTTACAGAAGAATTTACTTTAACCTAGAGAAAAATACTTAAAATAATATAGGCTGACAGGTATGGAAAAATCTAATAATAGGGATTTAAAACAGAACACTGCCACAAATTTAGGTGAATAAAAATAGGACAATCTTTTCTTAGCACTTTCAACAGCACAGAGACCATTACCAGAATAAGAGCACTGATGTGCCCTATTAAGAGATACTGTGGTGGAAAAAGCTTTCCACTGGGAAGATCCATTATTTTATGTTTCAGGGGAGTGGCTGTCATGAAAAACTGTTGTTATTATCCCAGCTCTGTGTATATTGTCCTCATACAAATTGTATTTTAAAGCTATAATAGATTTTTAATCCCCGGTTTACCAAGGGGTTTCCTTGGTCTTTTATTTGTTTGCCAAAATACAGCTTGATATTTTAAGATCAAGTCTGATTGACTCTTTGAAAGCATGTGGGTAAATCTAATTCAACAACTACTCTTTGTGCTGCTCAAGGCAGTTTGTTGGCAGAGCTGGAAGTACTGTACCCTACACTCCATGTTGTGTTTTGCAGTTTTTGTTTTCTTAAAGAAAGTCATTGAACAAATGTCTTTAAAAACAAAACAAACACAACAAAAAACCAAAACAAAACAAAGACAACAAAAAAGAGAAAAAAAACCCCAAGAAAACCCCAAACTTAGGTCAAATTGTCTTTAAAACTAGCCATTTTTTGTGACTAATGTGAAGCACCTTGCCTTTAATGGCTTAAAATAAGCATCGATTTTCTGAGAAGCAAATCTTTCCATATACCTAAAATAGTGAGATGTACAAAGGAAATACTGGCTTTTAAAAATCTTCCCCAGTTGTCTTATTTGCAGAGATTTTAGATTATTCCTGATAAAGTCATCAATATAAATATAGTTTCTCTTAACTCCTGCAAGTGTGATACAACTCTCCCTTTTTAGTGGACACCCTGTTTTAGAAAACACGCATGATTCATTCCTAGCGTTGTGGGGTTTATACAGATAGCCTACAACGCTTCCATTATAGCCTCAAAATGCAGTTTTCTCCTCATAATCATAGAGGAAACTTGAATGTGGACTTAATGGGGCTGCATAAAGCCAGGTTCCCAGAGACTGTGCTTGGGAGGGTAAATCTGCTTTCCTTGGTGTTCTTCCCCTGTGGAAGGTCAGTGGGGACACAGAAGAACACACCAGGCAGCTGTTAGTGACAACAACCTATAGGAGCAAATATTCCAGGGTGAAGCACTTCTTCAGTCTGCGTCTTTGTTGGTGTCTCCAGATCTGTAGTGGAGCCAACAGAGGTTCTCCAAACAGCTGTGGAAATGTTACACGCAAGAAGAGCAGGGCATGCCAAGGGAGGAGAGTTATTTGTGGCTCCCCAGGCTGGACGTCACTTTGTGTTTCCACCTGGGAGGCAGCCTCCATCAGGGGGATGTCAGTTCCATGGGGGTTTGCAGTTTATTATTCAGGTATAGTAAATCATCACTAGAAAAATATACCTAAAATCTCACCGTAGCTCTCCTGACAATGTATAAACAAAAAGCAGGGCTGTATCTCAAACCCTGAGGATCCATGGTTACTGACAGGAGGGGAGAAAGACTATTCACGAGGACTGTGATAAGGGAACAGGCCTGTTTAGGAGGGCATCCGGAGCACCTACCAGTTCAGCTTCACCATATGGCCCTGCTCATCTAACAGTTCTCCCCTGCTGGTGCTCTTGCCTCAGCCTTTGTCCACATCAATACCGCTGTGTCTCTGATCCCATGTGGCACCCATGTCCCATGGCATCTGGACACAGCGGCCAGAGCTGGGTACTGGCAATGAGGTTTTTCAGCACTCCCAGGCTCAATAAAGAGTGAAGCAGATTTGGGGTTCATCCAGGAGGTCTAGTTGGGAGGGAAGAAGAGAGAAAGGGGCCAGAAGCAGCCCTGGAGACCAGGCTACCACACCTTGTGGAGGTTGGAAAAGCCCTTTTGCTTCCTCATATGTGTCTTCAATTGTTTCTTCCTGAGCATATGCTTTTCTTTTTTCTTTCTAGTGCCCCCTGCTGTGTTTTCTTGTGCCAGAATACATTTTTTCTCTTGGATTTAGGGAGAATAATAATTTCTGATTAAAGGCCCAATAAGCAATGAAAAGTGTAAAATATCAAGCATTTTTGTTTATTGATGTGGAACAGGTCCTAGAAACAGCCTTGTCCAGTTCTGCTGCATGAACTCACCAATTCTGAGTAAACCAACATGAGATTGCAACTGGACATGTGACAGACTTCTCATCCTGCCAGCTGCACTGCCAGCTTGGAAGGGTCAGGACCTTAGGAAATAACATGAAACATTACGTCTTGAATATATATGTCTGGAATAGCACTTTGAAAATCACACTGATATTTTACAAAAATACAGTTCATCAACCTCTGTGTCTTTTTTCTGTTTAGTGTTGATTAAAACAGTCAGCAACGCTGTGCCTGCCAGGGAGATAATAATCGAGTTGAAACTGGATTCCTTGTTTGTGGTGAAACAAAACAAAGACTTCAGATATCTGATTTGCACACAAAAGGTGAAGGGCACCATGGGGTGCTGTGACTGTTAGAAAATGAAGAAGTTTCTCATAAATTATAAATAGGCTTTACATCCTTTTGAAATGTGAAAAAGCTCATTTAAACAGTTATTAAATAAAATTTTTAAAGTAGCTGTTTGCTTCAGGATGCAAAATATGGGGGAGCAGCCAGGTGGTGGGACATGGAGGCAAAGAGGCTGGGGGACAGGGTGACCTCCCTCTCCCCCTGCCCCTGCGCTCCACAGCGTAATCTTCTGCTGTCCTTAGCTCCCTCCTGATCAGATCTGACAAATAAAGTACTTCTCTTATTTTATTGTAAGCTTATACTTCACTCTGCATTATTTCGTGCTGTAGTCTCCCAATGTGTAGAAAACCAAAGAAGTATTTACCTTTGAGAAATTACACTTTAAGCATAAGGTGCAGTTGAAGAAATGAGAGCAGAAACAAAAAAGGAGAGAGACAAATGTAGCAAGATGGTTTTGCTTTTTTGACCATTAGATTCCATTTATGATTTTGGCCAGTTCTTTATGGTTGGATTCATCTCAGTATACTTTAATTGCTTAAAATTGAGGCATTTGTCCTCAGCTGGGGAACTGGGCTGCCCATAGCCAAAGGAAAGCTGCGGATACCTCCAAAGGGGAATTTGTCCCTTCAAGGTAAGTACCTAAAGAAGGTGGTGGGATGAACGCTGTAGGGATCTCTCTCTTTCTCCTTTGACTCTAAAGGAAGCCCAGGTGATTTGTTCAGATTAAATACTACTTTTTCACATGGCAGGAATAGTCCCAGGCTTAAACAATTTTATTTCTTATTGAAACTTTAGAGAAAAACAGATTTGTTTTTTATTTTTTTCTGATGTTTTCACATTTTCATTACAGGGGAAAAAAAAATCTAGATAACCAAAGGGAAATTTTTATTCCAAATGTCCATCAGAGGAAAATGCCTGTATGGGCTGGTACCAGCTGCCCGTCAGCCGGCATCCTGGGGCCAGGCTCTGAAGTGTGGCTGGTGCTCCTACTCTGCCCTCCTCCCTCACTGCTGGTTGGTGTCTGTGGAGGGAACACATGCCGAAGTGGTAGCCATCCCTCTCCTGCGTGTGGATGACGGATGTGCCTTGGGCCTCAGAGATGACAGCCACAGGACCTGTGATGACTTGAAAAATCACGCACCAATGCTATCCGCCCTCCAGCCAGCACGGGACGAGTGATGCATTAGAAATCCAGATCCTTTACCAGCGAGGAGATTAAAGAAGCAAGAAAGAAGTTTCTTAATCCCTGCCTCAAGCGTTTTAAAACCTTCTTGCTTGGGTCCTACATAAATCAAAATACAGGACTGGCTATATTCTGCAAATAAATCATCTTTGATATTTACTTCTCACATAACTTCTCTAACAAAATCTGAATTCCCTACCAAATATGCTAATAAAAAGTCAACCGTTCTATAATTTAGTGGCATCATATTAATAATATTTTCTTCAGTTGTATGTCTCTCTCTCAGAGAGCACTTGACATACTGCTTACACCTAAAAAGTGAAATTAATATCTTAATATATCATTTAGTCTATTATTTCTTAATAATGAAACTCACTAAATATAAACCGTCTGTACAATAATTAATCATGCATGAATGCTAACCAAATGAAGATTAAATTAGCATGAAAAAAGCCTCCCACAAGTAATTACCACAGGCACTTGAGGAAAATAATTTCAAAAAATGTAAGTACATAAATTATTTCTGCTACAGTGAACAATCGTAGTAATGGAAGAGGACACTTAGTATTGAGCATTGCAATAGGATTAAAGAACATGTATCTTTTTTTTTTCTTCTGAAAGAATAGGAACTTCCGAAAGAAAAGCGATGATTGGTTTATAAAACATATTTTGCACATATGGAAAATCTTCTGGTTGAGAATGCGATGACGCTTTGCAGACAATCATGAACTAAGCCTTACAAGCAGGCAGAGGAGAGCAGATAACAAATATGTCACAGCTAAAAATGTGTACCCAAGACAACCTGCCATTCTCACAGCTGGAAACAAAGTGGCACATGTTTCAACAAGGACACCAGGAGCCAGGGGCCAGCTCTGTGAACGCCGTGTCGGAGCTGCTCCATCGCCACGTTTCCTGCCACCGCGCTGGACGCCTCTAACTACCCTGCCCCGTGCTTGCCATCGTGGGCACCTGCTGGCAAAGCCTGTGCTGAAATGCAAAGCTGTGGCTCAAATTTGCCATGTTGTCTTAAGCTTTAAATTGAAAAAAAAGAACCCTTAGCGTTCACGGCAGTGATCCAGAGCTTGAGCTAATTTGAAGCTGGCTCATACATCCACATGGGTGCTACCACAGCTTTCAGGTAGGCATGTTTGCAGTTACCTCAAAGCCCTCAGTCAGCCCTTCCAGATAATTTGTATCCCTACTGATGCCCATGTTTGGATAAACCAGTACCGCTAGGCTTTTGATGTTAAGTAGCTGTAAAGACTGATATTTCATTCCAAAACAGACCAACTGAACAGTTGTTTAATTAAACAACAATTAAGAAGTTGTTTGCCAGCACTTTTAAGAATCCCAGCGTTCTCTTTTCTGTTGCATGAACTTTTTCTGCCATGAACTTAACCTGTCACAATTTTCTTTCACTGCACATATTTGCTGATGCCAGAAGCTCCGTCAGAAGGGGTTCACAAATCAAGCTTTTGGCAGGTTGCAGGCTGGGTCTCATTCTCACCTCCACCTCGGTGCCTCAGGGGACGCACTGTCTTCTCCAGCTGAAGCGCACAGGTATGCCTTTGCTTGCTTCCCTCAGTCGGCTCTGCTCATTTCCAGCTGAAACACTTGGCTGTCTGAAACCCAGGTAAGACCTCTTCAGTATTTAATTTTCCTCCTAAGTGTGGAACTAAAGTATGTTGGGGTTTCGGTGTCTTTGTTTCTCTGCTTAAATGAGTCATGTTTAAAGACTATGACTAGTATTGAACATCATGGGGTTAGGCAGGGTAGGAACTGGGACATGTAACTTCCAAGATTACTCTTACTATGGATACCTATGTTTTGCTGCAGTGCTGTTGCAGTTCAAGTCATCTCTGAGCCTGTCCATTATTCTGACAGAGTACAAAATGTAAAGCCCGACTCAAGCAGGAAGATGTTTGCTTGTTTTGCCTCAGAGGCTGGCTCTGCTGCCAGCTTTCTCTGTAGCCGGAGGAGCCAGGCGCAGCTGCCCAGATGCTCACCAGCATCATCTCACCATCACACACCAGACTCTCTGTGGTGGTGGCAAGTGAGAAGAGCTGAAGCAGCACGAAAGGCTGGTGGCTCTTGATAGCTTTCCCTGCCTATGTTTGTTGAAACAGCCATGAAGGTATGGCTGTTGTGTCACGTGCTGTGCAGAGCTGCATGAACCAAGCCTACATGGACCCTGTAACATCTGAAATACTCTGAATGCCTTTGCTTATGTTCCCCCTGCTCTTGGGGAGAGTATTTGGCCTCAAGTTGCGCCAGGGGAGGTTTAGATTGGATATTAGGAAAAATTTCTTTACAGAAAGGGTTATCCAGCGTTGGAATAGGCTGCCCAGGGAAGTGGTTGAGGCACCATCCCTGGAGGTGTTCAAAAGATGGGTTGACATGGTACTTAGGAATATGATTTAGTGATTTTTTATTGCTTGTTTCTTGTTTATTTTTTTGTCAGAGTTAGGTTGATGGTTGGACTAGATGATCTTTAAGGTCCCTTCCAACCTGGACGATTCTATGATTCTATGATTTCATCTTAGCTTAATTCAGCACAGCGATGGGTGTATGAAGGTGAGGAAAAAGAATGGAGCTGGGAAGTGGAACTTTGGGCATGGTCACACAGGGATGCCCCAGCAGCTGGAGCTGCATCAGGGCAGGCTGGCCCTACTGGTGCCTACAAGTGGAGAAAGAGGTGGAAGGTAGAAAGATGGGGGGCAGTCTGCAGTTTGAGAGCTCTACTAGGTGGCAGAATGCTGGGTTGTCTTTTATACCCATGGCTACCTTCTGTTTCTCCATCAGGTTTTGTGTTGGCAAGTCTCAGGGTCCTCCAGGTGAGTAGGAAGAGGACAGATGTGAGGTAAATGCCACAATGAAGCTCACTTGGATGCACACTGAGGTTCCCCTCAGCGAGTCTTTTGTGTTCATACTGACATTACCTGTTTTTCCTCATTGCACTTTAAGATGCGATTATAATCTTATCTATGCCAAAATTCATAGCATTTGATGTCAGGTGTTTCTCAGTGGCATCTTCATTAGGACTTGGTCTTCGTTCTAAGTTAACGGAAAGAAACAAGAACCTCCAGAGAAGGAGTTAGATCTCTGCAAACAGCCCTGCTGAATCTAGTCAGGATTAAATAGTTTGTATTTGAATGCTACAATATTTTTGCTGGTAGGATTCTGTTTTTATTTTACACTAAATGTTAATATGTATTGAGTCTTCTCTGAAAGCCCTTGTGAGGTGTCTGCTTTCATCCCTGTTTCAATGCCAAAATTTCAGTCATGAGAAATTTTTGCTAGAACAAAATCAAAGTCGGGGTTTCCTTTTAATCTTTATATTTTTATTATGGCTCCATTACTTTAAGAAGAGCTAGCTCTGGGTAAGCCTACGTGCAAGCAGTGCTTTGGTAACCCACCAGTTCTTCTCTTGCAGCAGTACCAGTCTGAGTTTCACGGGCAGGCATGAGGCTGGGGCTGGCCATCCTGTTACACCTCAGTAAGTACAGAAGCTGCAGTTACTCAGGCCAATTTGGAAATATTGTCATGGGATTTACATATGTCTCCAAGATTTTGTGAGAGTGCTTCTCTTAAGTACGCTCTTAAGACACGCATGATGGTGACAGAGTCCTTATTCCCCACTTTCTTGCCTAGGAGCTATGAGTGATATGAAAAGCTTTAGGTACAAAGGAAAGATAAATGTTGTAATTGAGTCTGAGTCATCTCCTGAAAGGGGCAATCAATATCTGCTAACAAATAATGAGCGTGGATCTGCGTAGATAAAGAAGAGCAAGCTAATCAAACTTACGCGTCGCTTTATACCTCAAGAGTCAAGCGTCACTCATCATCTGAAGTATAACCTCTGCCATAGACTGAAATCTGACAGTAAAATACTGTAAATTTACTGTTGTAATTGCGTTACTGTTTCTAGTGTTCTGTGGGATCTTCACATATTGATTGGTTGGGTTATTTTAACTGCACTTTTTACAACAAGTTGAGCCAAGTAAAGCTGAACGGATAAAGCCTCCAAGGTACCCATTCCTGTTCAGGGTTTCAGGACAGAACTTGTTTAAAAGGACAAGCCCTGTAAGGAAAGTCTTAACATAAAGAGAAAAATATTTAAAGTTGTTTCAGGCAAAATAAACAAAAAGATCCTGCAATTATTTAGACAGTTCAAAATTATTCTGTTTAGTTATTAATGACCATTCCTGGGGTCTGAATGGAGGGCTCTGGGATCAGACCGAGGGGTTCATTATAAATCATCAGAAAATGTGAGAGACCCCTGACGTCAATTCTGGTCTCAGCTCTACTATTATCACTTGGAAATGAACAGAAATCAGCAGAATTAATCCAAAACTGGCTCTGCTCACAGAGTCAATTGAAAAGCCTGTGATTCTACTGTAGGAGTGCTGGCTATGGGTATGTCAGGATAGGAAGCATAATAAATTATTGTTCATAGCAGATTGGCATGTTTACTGTGCAATAATGTGCTGAGAATATAAGTTTTAGAATGGATTTGTAATATGTGGCTATATTTTTTGTATTGATTTTGCAGCAGGTGTCTTCTTTACCAAAGCTCTCTATTCTACCAAATATTATTAAGGACAAAAGGAGTACATGCAAAGGATAATTTAATTTTCTGCTGATGTTGGGATTTAACTGCTTTTGTCTGGAGAATACTGCTGGGAGTACAAAACAATTTCCTCTCTCTTTGATCTTCTTTTGTGCTCAGTGCTGATAAGACTCCAGCAAGCACAGGATGACTGTGATGCTGGGTCCTGCCACCCGGCCGTTGGGGACCTCCTCTTGGGTCGCAGCAAGCAATTAACAGCCTCGTCAACCTGTGGAATGAGCAGCCCTCAGAAGTACTGCATTATAGGCTACCTAGAGGTTGGTTTGCTTTTTCTTTTTTAATGAACTGAACTCTGCTTACTAATAATGTTCTCATCTGTAAAAGCAATTTGCCCAGACTGGGAAGTTTCCATTGGAGTTGTCTGAATAATCATCAGACAGTGTGACATAAGTCTGGTGGAAGGCTCTGCCTTACTGTGGTGCATATGGATGGTTTGGCAGCAAACAGCCTCCACAGTGATGTGTAGCTTCTCAAGAGGCAGAAACATCCATGAGATGCAAAAGAACACAGGAATTTCTGAAGAAGCTTTGCTATGTGGGTCCTTTTCTGACCCATACCTCAGAGGTGAAGACCAGAGTTTGCATGTGTGTGAGTGCAGGAGGAGTACAGTCCTGCAGGCTGTAGGCACTGCCTTGATGGACCTTCACTGGAGGACACGTCCCATACAGTGTAGTGACCCAAGGCAGCCTATTAAGAGATTCACACCATATCCTCTCATGTCTTTTGATCTGAAATAAGACCAGCATTGGTAAAAGCAGAAAGGCACATGAGAAAAACTCATGGTGTAGTCCAGCCTTTGGCTGGGTGGGTGGGTAGGAAGATCCAAAATGTTGGCGATCAGATGGATCCCTCTCGCTCCCTGCCTGCAGCGCGGGAGCTGCGCCAGGCAGAAATGGGAATTCCCCAGTTGTGCGTCCTGGAGGACTTGGCCCAGCTGAGCTAATAAATTGTTGCAAATAGAAATATTTTCACTAAATATCAGCTGTAGGCTGAAGAGGAAATTAATAAAACACAGCTTAATTTATAAGCATTCGAAAATAGTTACTGTTTATGACCTTCTGGCAAAATGCTGTGACACATTTACAGTGCAAATCTCTGCCATGCTGAGATGGAGCACTGCTCCAACACACTCTTTGCAACTATGGTTTTCTGCAACACGTAAATACCTCTTTCCTCTTCCAAAAGAGGAAAACCCTTTGCTGTTTTTCCCCATGTTGTTTGAACAAGGGGATCCTGGCCACTAACTTGTTGGCTGTGGTCTGAGTCTTGGCACTACTTGGTAGATGGGCACAAAGAGCCATCTCAGAGACATCGCGCCTTTCTGACCCTTAGCCGAATGACTGCTTTTTTCCCTTTCTTTTTAAGAGGAGATCAAAGAGCAATAAAAAATTCATATTTTCACTTGCCTGTACTTATCCTTTGAATTATGTAAATACAGACTCATGAAAAGGAACAGCTGTTCTGCAATAATGCCTGTGATTTAATGCTGCTTCAATGTATCTTGACCCCTGATAACTGTCTCCTAAAAAGGGTTAGAACTACAAATTCTGCTGCTTTGCAGAGCTCAAGGGATAGAGGCTTATGCTCTGGCAATGTGTTCTGCTCTATCAGCTCACCTTATATGTGGGTCACGTGTAGCATATCAGTCACAGCTCAATTCTCTTTATCGCCAGCACACGTTTAATGCTTTTCTGGAGGCAGGCCAGGAAGCTTTGCATCTTGCAAAGCAAAGTTCTTCCTCCCCCAGTTCCCCTCCTGATGACCTGTGTCAGGCATCCTGAGGTGAGCAAACCTGACTTGTGAAAGTGTGTGTTAGTCAAGATGGCAAGCTGCCAAGAGTCTGGACTCGGTTGGGATGTCTTATTGAAAATTCAGATTGAAAAAAATTAATGTTCAACTGCTTTTTGTTTGAAAAGAGACGCTGCAAATAATTTTCTTATTTAGAGTAATGTGTCTTATTGTTTCTAAATGTATGCATCACCTATGAGGGGATTTACTACTTACATGTTTTGAAAGGAAAAGAAAGCAGACTCAGTATTGAGGAGAGTATAAAGCTGCCCACTTCAGAAGCAAATGGGATCTGCCAGACTTGCCCTGTGTGGACATGCACATGCGTGTCCTTTGGGGCACAAAAAGATTTTTACGGAGCAACCTTAAACATAAGTTGACTGAGTGTCACAGACACACAGACACACAGAATTGTAGTGGTTGGAAGGGACCTCAGAGATCATCGAGTCCAACCACAAAAAAAAAAAAAAAACAAAAAAAAAAAAAAAACCACCAAACAAACAACACCAGCTCCCACCACCTAAACACACAACAACCTCCAACCAAAAAACCATCACCCACCCACACAGCCCCCCACCACAAACCAGTAATCTTGGGCACTAGAGCATGCCCTGAAGAACCATGTCTACACGTTTCTTAAATACCTCCAGGGATGGTGACTCCACCACCTCCCTGGGCAGCCCATTCCAATGCTGGATAACCCTTTCAGTAAAGAAATGTTTCCTAATATCCAACCTGAACTTCCCCTGGCGCAACTTGAAGCCGTTACCCCTTGTCCTATCATCTGTAACTTGGGAGAAGAGACCGACCCCCGTCTCTCTACAGCCTCCTTTCAGGTACTTGTACAGAGCAATAAGGTCTCCCCTCAGTCTCCTCTTCCCCAGACTGAACAAATATTGTATGTGTCTGTATAAACCAGAGAGTGGACACGTGCAGTCCTGACAAATGCTCCCGTAGCTTGAGCTCTCCTTGCCAGACCTTTGTGAAATGAGGTGACTATCTTTTTGTATTTTTGTCTCATCTTCGAAATTGTACATTTGTACATTTTTACACCTGTCAAGTCTGCTATAGCTGAATGGCTGAATATAAAACATACTTATCGTAATGTTTAAAACGCATAATTTATAGCATACCTGTGAATCTATATCTGTTCATTTATTTAAATGCCAATAATCCCCGGGTGATTTCCTAATACAAAGATGTGCAAACCATTCCTAATACTTACCCGTGAATTGTGAGTGTGCCAGCCAGGATGTCTCTCTGCCAGTCCCCTTCTGAGTCATTTCCAGCCCAGCTCGTGCCACTGGCTTCTACTTTCTGTTTTCAGCAGCACTCCTGCCAGGCTCCTAGCCAAGGGCTCCAAATCCGTGCCTCCTGCTTTAGCTCCTTCTCCCTTCTCCCTACCAGCATCCCTGCCAGCCAGGCACAGCTTGGGCATCACCTGCCACTTTGGCTTACCCCTGAGTCCTTGCACTCAGGCTCTGCCTAAATCTTGTAGAGTCCGTCTGCGTAGTGCAGCCCCCCCTCCCCACTCTGGGCGTCCCCCAGGGCAGTCACTACCATACTCTTCCCCGTGGCCCTGCTTGTCCCAGGACAGGTCATCTCCCAGCCCCAGCATGTTAACCTTGTCACCTCTCCATATGTCTCCCACTCCATTCCCCTCTTATGACCTTAAATATGAGCTCCTTGCCCCTGCTTTCAAAGCCCTTTTGCAGACAAAAGCCTCTCATTCAGCAGTGAGATATTGACTAATCATCACCACCTTCTTCTTCTGCTTGTTACATTTTCAAACAAGACCCTTTCATTCTATTGACATCCTGATTTTCCTCCTTTGCATTCTTTTTAAACTTTTACAGTTTCTCTATGCCTACAAAAGGCACTAACAGTGATCGCAGTGGTGTGGTGTAGCATGTGGCGTTGTGGGTGTGGGGTTTAGTTTTTTTGGTGGTTTGGTTTTTTTTTGTGGTTGGACTCGATGATCTCGGAGGTCCCTTCCAACCACTAAGATTCTGTGATTCTGTGATTCTGTGTCAGCCCAGACCACCTGCTTACATTGTACCTGGATCCAACCTTGCCTTCCACTTATATCTGTCTGCTGCTCCTGGCTGGGTCTCTGAGCTGCTAGAAAATGTGCAAAAGAGAGAGGAAAAAAGCACATAAATAATGTAGTGTATGTTCCTTTTCAAGGCTTCTTCAGATCTTGAAAGATCCAGTCTTCCCTTGAATCCCTTCTGCCACCTCGCTGCAGCCTCTGCCTGAAAGTTTCTACAGCCTTTATGAGACAGGAATAAAAGCTCAACTCTTAAAAAATAAATTTCTCCCAAGGCACTCTTGCAAAACAAACTCTCTGGCAGCTAAACCCAGAATCAAGACCTTTACAAACATATTTTTTAGCTCTTATTGAGATCCTTCTCCACAAGGAGAGTGTATTTTTATAGATTGCCTGGGGCAAACCAAGGCCAACATTTACCCTATACATATCATGTGCATATGATGATTTTCTTGGACTTGTCTTATATATGAAAGTGATTAAAGCATAAGCACCCAAAGCAGCATGACAGGCTGCTGTCTTGCAATGGCATAAATAGTGTACATCTACCAGATCTCGAGAGATGAGACCAAATCCATCTTTTATTCTGCTTGATTTGTTTTCTAGGCTGAACAGAAGTGCTTTCTCTGTGACTCCAGATACCCCTATAATCCCTATATGCAGCACAACAGTCACATGATTGAAAATGTTATCACAACTTTTGAGCCTGATAGGAAAAAAAAGTGGTGGCAGTCTGAAAATGGTAAGTTTCTTTGAGAAAATATTGCTGCATAGTGTTACTGTGAGATTTATTTATGTATTTGAGTTTTATCACATTGCCTTCATGAAGAGATGAAACAAAACTGCATCAGTTCTTTGATTCAGAAATACTGAGTGATTTAAACCTATTTGTGTGTCACAATATAGGATTTTAGAAATTCTCTTTTTCTACAGACAGATTTTAAGTCCAGTATCTCCAAGAGCAGGCTAGAAGACCCACAGCAGTGCTGTGTTACACATAGTGTCCATGTATTTTTCACAGAGTATATGATTTTCAGGGAAATGCAGTTTATGGCAAAAGATACATTTGTCTACCTTTGTGTAATGTGTAATGACAGAGTGTGTAAAACACACATATCCATTTAAAAAATAATGCTTGCAGTGTAAAGCACCAATACTTTAAGAAATAATTAAATGAAGCCTGGATATCAACACCCTTATTGCCACATCTTAATTTTGTCACAAGTTTCTCTGTGGTAGTTCTTCATTTGATAACAATTTATATATCCTTACAGCTTCTCTGTGAAGGCATGGTAGGAGGAATAGCAGCTACTCTACTTTATTTGACATATATTGAATAGGTAAAAAATACTCAACAGGTTGCAAATTAAGGCATAATATGTTACCTCTATTTTGAGTAGCCAACTGAAGTTCGTAAGCCATGTTTTTTCATGGAGTTTAGCAAGGAACTGTCACCAGTTTTGGACAACAATGTCAATAAAGCTGTGGGCCAGCTGTGAGAGGACCTTTTCTTGCTCTCTCCATCTTTCTTGTGGGATGAGGACTCATGCACAGCCTCGTCAGCAGGAGCCCTGGAATGCTGCATGCAGATGTGAACACTGGGGATATCAGCTGAGCTCCTGCAATGCTCTACAGAGAATGTGTGAATCGTGGGGGGTTTTCCTATACTTGTTGCAATTTTGGAAGATGCCTCACACGATAGCTCTGCTCATGACAAATTGCAGGCCTGGCAGTGTAGAAGGGTTTAACAGATCTGTTTAGCATGACAAAAAAACCCACATATTTTATTTGGTTTCTTTTATTTTTTCTTAGAAATAAGCAAGCTATTTGGATGGATTTTAGAAGAATCTTGCTGGATAGAGGAAGACGTAAACCCAGAACCTTACTATCACCACCACTTACAGTCCAAATGATCTGAACAGGGCCTTTAACCATCTCCTGCAGTCTCAGTGACATGCAGCTTTACTGGTGCTAGTGCTGGAAAGGCAGCAAATCTTGTTGCCCCCGAGAGAGTGCTCCAGCCCCACGCTGGGTTTGTGCACAGGGAATGCCCTAAAGAGCCTGGCTGCTGTGCTGGAAAAGGCATCTTTAAATTCCCCACAAGAAAGCTGTCTCAGCAACCCCTCCAATGTGCACATTATGCTCTTCACTTCATTTTCATTCTCTTTTCAGGCATTGACCATGTCAGCATTAGATTGGACCTGGAAACTTTGTTCCAGTTCAGCCATCTTATCCTGACTTTTAAGGTACATCTTTTACCAGAACTTTAATGTAATGTCATACGCTAATTACTTAACCACAGGAATAAATTGCTTAGAGAGGCAATGACAGCTCCATCATTAGAGGTTTGTAAGAACAGGTTAGATAAACACCTGTCAAGTACGGTTAAGTTAGAGTTGATCCTGCCTTAGGGGAGGAGGATAGACTGAATAGCTTCCTATTCATGTACCTTCTGGTCCTATTTTCTATAAATCTGAGAATTAAAGCTGAAAAAAAATTAAATTGCAAAATCAAGCCCTAAAAATGTGGGACACCTCTGAACTGCAGTTGCTCTTTCAAATGTAGTTCAGTCTTCTCGTGCATATCCATTATGATCCAGATAGTTACAAATTTATTTTTTTTCTACAAAATTCCTACATTGTTATGGTAAACTTCCTTACTTAGAAAGTAATCTTGTGTTTATACAGAAAGTTACCCTTCTCTTTTGCTAGAGAGTGGTTTGAATGAGGAATCCGGCTTTTTCAGAGAATCCTGTAACCAGCACTGTAGCCCTGTACTGAGCCTGCAAGCTCCCAAACACAAAATTTTAATTGCCAGGTGTTGGCATCCCCCAAAGAGGAATGTCAATACAACAGCCCCTGAGATGTCTTATCAATGTCTGGGTAAGGAATTCTTGAAATAATGTTTCTTGCAGACATTTCGGCCTGCAGCAATGCTGGTTGAGCGCTCCACCGACTTTGGTCAGACCTGGAAAGCGTTTAGATATTTTGCACAGGACTGTGCAGCTTCTTTTCCCAATGTCTCTTCTCGTCCAGCAAAAGGTGTGGGAGATGTCGTTTGTGATTCAAGATACTCAGACATCGAGCCCTCCACTGAAGGCGAGGTATTGCCAACTGTCTGTGTTTGCATGAGCTCAGATCATATGTGGCTGTTTTTCTGGAGCTGAAGGTCTGTATCCATCAGATCCACTTCTACAGGTTTTGAGACATGAAGTGCTATTGACTTAACTGAAGAAGAAAAGACAATCACTGCATTTTACCCTCAGTTTTACATCCAAATGAATTTATAAAACAACTTGTACAAAACCTTCTAATGCTCTTTCCTTGTTTTCAAATTCATATGGAAGTCACCCTTATAGGAGATCTTGACTCCCCGTTAGCCTCTATCATTAAAGGCACGGTCCTTTGATCCCTTTGGTGAGTGCTGGTCCCATCTCTACATCACTCTAGGGCATTGCTTGTCCTTCCTCCTGACACATCAATCCACCAAAAGGTCTTTTTGCCTCACTCAGCCAAGGCCAGGCTGAAAGGGTGAGAGCACTTGCTGAATCTGCCACTGCCTTGTGTTTTTTCTTTTATGGCATCAGTGAAGTTGCATTAGTAACTAATGGGTCTCAGGTGACAGTCTTCATATCCAAAAAAAAATAGTTTCAGCTATCTATAGAGCTGTATTGATTTGTTTTGCAGGTTGTTTTAAAAGCTTTGGATCCCAGCTTTGAAATAGAAAATCCCTATGTGCCATATATCCAAGGTATGAACAGTACAGGTTTTCTCCAGAGATACTTTGCTGGTGTGGCTTGTTTTGTACATTGAAAGGGGGAAAAGTTCAGCTAGTGTAAGTCGATGTTGAAAATTAGGTATCAAAAGATCATAGGGAGTCATCTGTATTAGTAACTAAAATGGGCTAATCTTATTCTCTAGTCCTGAGGGCAAATGGCACAGCTCTGCAGAGCTCAGGCATGCAGCTGGACTGTCTTTCCTTCTGGGATCAAGTAGCCCAATCCACGCTGCCTTTTGGGAGCGGTCCCAGAGGTACATGAACCCATGAAGGCAGTGACTGGGAAAATACGGGTTGGCCCCAGCCAGAGCCATACCAAGGAGGGTGCAAATGCATATGCAGCTTTGTGTGAGGAGTGGGTCCATGTCCTGGCACTGTATGGGTCAGTGGGCTCGGCCAACATCAGATCATTTTAACTAATTCTTCGGTATGGAGAAATTCTTGGATGACTGATCCAAGCTGAAGATTTGACCCTGTTCATTTTCGAGTGAACTTGAGCTCCTGAATTCTTTTCTTTTCTTCCAGAGCTCATTACATTGACAAACTTAAGGATCAATTTTACTAAACTCCACACCCTCGGGGATGCTCTGCTTGGAAGAAGGCACAGTGATCCCCTTGAGAAGTACTACTACGCTGTTTACGAGATGGTTGTGCGGGGTAGCTGCTTTTGCAATGGCCACGCCAGCCAGTGTGAGCCTGTGCAGAATCTGCGGGGAGATGTGTTCCATCAGTCTGGGATGGTGCGTCATCACTGCTGGCTCCAACAAGGGCGGTCCCTACCTGGTATTTTGGGGGATGGAAGAGATGGAGGGAGGGAGAGGAAAGAAGGACTCTGATGACCATTGGATTGACCGGTTGCAACTCCAAGTTGTAAAATGTTTCAGTACGGCTTCTTCCTTTAAAGCCCTGGGCTGGATTGCTCTGAAGCTGTCTCTTTGTTGGCACCAGTGTGTTTCAAAAGCAACTGGGACAAGACATGTTGATAATAGCAGCAAAATACCAGAGCTGTAATGGTGCAAATTTAATGCAGTAAGTAGCCTGTGGTGTGTGCAGACTTGAATGGCCACTTGTTGGGTGCATTCCACGCTCCAGCTGGGCTCGGGGGCTCTGCAGCTGGAGAGGAGGCATTGGCACAAAGAATAGCTGATAATGCAAAGCTAACCCATGAAAAATGGATTATTAAAAAATTCAGGAACAAGATTGCAAATTCTGTCCCTCTGGGAACAAGAGTTTTTTTCTCCTGGTAAATATGTTTCTCAATATAGAGACATGTAGGGAGGGAAAGATAGAATTTAGAAGGCTGACGTTTCCTTTGATATCGCTATAAGTATTTTTTTCTAAATGTTTCTTGGTGCCTTTAAAACTATTTGGTTAAAGTTTGTAGTTATTCTCCAGACCTCTTACTCAAATAACTGAGAATTATGTCAGCTGAGGGAGCCAAAGAGCTTTGAATTTTCCTGATCTTGCTGGCATACCTCAAGCAGATCTCCTCGCTTCTTGCCTTACCTTCTCTCTGTCCTCACCACATTGCAGGTCCACGGGAGATGTGTCTGCCACCATAACACTGAAGGTTTGTCTTGTGAAAGATGTAAAGATTTCTACAATGATGCTCCCTGGAGGCCAGCTGAAGGGACACAAGATAATGCTTGCAAAAGTAACTCAAACACATTATTTTCCTTTTTAATAGCTGAGGGACAGGGGAGTGGGAGGTGGGAAGGGGGGATGTGTAGCGCAATCCCAGCTCAATGCATTATGGGATGGCCGTGTTTCTGGGAGGGATACTTTTCCATGCCTCATCGAGAAAAATAGATGGATTTTTATATCCATCAGTGCTGTGTTGCCCTACAAGAAGGAGAGCTGTTCATGTTACTATTTTTCACAAAGAGAAAAAAACAATAAGGAGAGGAAAAAGAAACATGCAAAAAAGACCATTCATCAGTTTGCATAAGGTCTTTCTTGTGAATGAAAGAAGAACTTCAACAAGGCTAAATTATTTATTTCCATGTAGCAGATATTCAGCTAGACCTTTCTTCAGTGGAGCAGTGTTCCCAACTGCCTATCAGGCACACTCACCTGCACGGGTACTTTCTTAAGTGTAGAGGCAGCTCTGTTGTAGGTCTCTGATGTTTCCCCCCAGCTGTAAAGGCCTGGGAAGGTATAATCTTGCTGGGGCACTGAGATCATACAAGTAACAAATACCCCTGTGTTAACAGTAGACAACAATGGTGGCAAGACCACAATAACAGGAACTGTGGTGCGAAATACCCTGCTGTTCGTTTTGGTTTCAGGGTGTAACTGCAACGGCCACTCTGGCAGATGCCACTTTGACATGGCCGTGTACCAGGCCAGCGGTGGGGTCAGCGGTGGTGTCTGTGAGGACTGTCAGGACAACACCACAGGGCAACACTGCGACCAGTGCAAACGTTTCTTCTACCGGGATCCACTCAAAGTCATCTCAGACCCCCAGGCGTGCCTCCGTAAGCTTCCCTTCTTTAGCTTCTGTAAGAATGGATCAAAACAGAGTGGTTCTGGTTCTCTTTGCTCTGAACCCTGTGGCATCCTCGTGCTTAAATGTTCACTTGGTTGTAAAAATGTTACCAAACCTATAACATCCAAACTGCCTTATAAAATAGCTGCATGACAGCGTCCTTGAACCAGCGTTGTAAAAAGGGCTGCGTATTTCAATTCATTGCTAAACTGAGCTTAGAAATCCAGCAAGGCTGTCATCATTCTTGAACATCAGTATAAATATGAATAGCAGTAGTGCTGTTGTTTCTGTGATAGTGAGGGATTACAGAAGAGGGGAAAAATGGTGGGAGGAGTAGTAACTTTTGCTGGATACCTGCCATGTGCAAAAAAACCAGGGCATAAAAGCCCTTCTGAAAGATGAGCTAAATTCATTATTAATATAGGATGGAAAAAATGCTCTGAGTATAATTTAATTGTAGTAACTGATTGGCATAAAAAGTCCCTAAGGACCCCAGGGGTGATTACCCAGGGGAGTGGTGTGGTAGATGTCGGCTCTGCTGTGAGAAATGGATACTGCCTTGGGAAATAACAGAATGCATCATGAAGGCAGTGTCCCTTGCTGAATCCATTGCTTCCAGTAAATGATTTGGCAGTGGCCGACTCAGACCAACTCTGGGGACGTGGCTCATGTGGCAACCCTACAGCTTTCATGGGACCATCCCCAAAAGTATGGGCCCCGCTCTGCCCCAGGTACTCTGGAAAGGGAAGGGAGTGGATGAGTGATGCCTATTTCTACCCAGAGCAAAGGGTGAATCTCTACCAAAGTGAAGACACTAACTCTCCTCCAAAAAAAAGCAGATCTTGGAAATATTCTCACAATAATAATTCTTGCCAGCAGCTGTGCATTAAGTGTAAAGCATCCAACACAGCAAGCATGGATGAACTTCTCTAATCTTTACAGGAATCCTGAATTTGTACCTACCAGCAGCTTTTTCGTGCTTGTATCTAACCGTGCTTTTTCATGTGTTTCCTTGACCATGCCTGTAGCCTGCAACTGTGACCCAGAGGGCACGTTGCACAGCGGTGTGTGCGAGAGCCACACAGATCCTGCTCTGGGAACAGTCGCGGGACGGTGCCCTTGCAAGGAGAACGTGGAGGGTGCCCGCTGCGACAGGTGCAGGGCCAACTACTACGGGCTGAGCGGCAGCGACCCTCTGGGCTGCCAGCGTACGTAAACCACCTCCTTTCTTCTTCTTTCCAAGGCACTTTTAAGAGACGGAGGTAGTTGAATGCACAGACGCACACACTAATGCACTACCTGCTTCACAAAATACCCAGTTGCCTACTATAATTTAATGTCAATGTAATTTAATGTTCCTGGTACAGCATCTGAAAAGATGCAAAATCACTTGCAGAATACATAATATACTATAATAGATCAGGTTGTTGTTAACTGAAGGATTGTTAAATATGCAATTTAATTGAAAAGGAAGATTAAAACATATGAAAATTGTTTTAGCATCAAAATCAGCATAAGGGTGAACAAAATAATGAATAATGACAGGACTAGAGGAAACGGTAGGGAAGGTTTAGATTAGATATTAGGAAGAATTAGTTTACTGTGAGAGTGGCCAGGCACTGGAACAGCCTGCCCAGGGAGGTGGTGGAGCCACCATCCCTGGAGGTATTTAAGAAATGGGTAGATGTGGCACTTCAGGGCATGCTCTAGTGCTGAGATTGTTGGGTGTGGTGAGTGTTTTGGTGATTGGGTGTCGGTTTTTTTGTTTTGGTGTTGTGTGGGTTTGGTTTTGGTTTTTTTTGGTTGGACTCGATGATCTCAAAGGTCCTTTCCAACCATGAAGATTCTGTGAAAAAGTCACAGATGGGACTCTGCACTGCGGAGTGCAGCGTCGAGATGGCAGGAGCTGCTGACTTGCTAAAGAGATCTTCCAGCCAGCTGTTCCCCCGAGAGAAGCTGAAAGACACGTTCCACCCCTTGCCCAATCGCTCTGTGGGTTTGTGAGCATGTTGTGCCCACAGCGTGGTGCTCAGCAACACCCCAGGACTGGGCAGTGCGGATCAGCACACGGCAAACCACCGCACCGGAATTCTGCCAGTGCCCCTGCTCCCCTCGGGGAGGGTACCCACCAAGGAAATGGTCCTTTCCCCAGGGGCAGCCTGAGGGCTGCAGGATGTCGGGACATGTCCCTCCACAGAGCATCCATCCAGAGGAGGGAGACTGCCTGTCATGGTGCTGCCACATCTAAAGCAAACACCAGTCCTGCAGCCGTTACCAGGGCCTGCGGGGGTAACCGTGCGTTTCTCTCCCCGCAGCCTGCGACTGTGATCCCTCTGGCAGTTTGCCCTTCTCCATCTGTGACCCTGCCACAGGAGAGTGCCTCTGCCAGCAGTTTGCCACCGGGCGACGCTGTGAAAAATGCCTCGTACGTACTCAGTTTCTGTTGTTACTTACGCATGTGGTTTTAGAAGTCTCTTCTCCCAATCCTCCCACCTTTTCATTGCCAGAAAAGTAAACAATTAGTCAAAATTCAAAAATGTTTTACAGCTGTATGCTCCTATTTTGCATTGACACATCTGGTTCTTTTTTACTGCTTGCAAACATTTGTGCAATCAAATTGCACTAGGAGGAACACTCTGGGGGAGGAAAGAAAATGCAAAATCATGTCCTCAGGCCATCTCCACTGTTTACAGAGCAACTTGCTTGCACAAATTGGTAAATATCTGGCTCTTCTTGCGGTGGTTGAGCATCCATGCAGTCTGGTAAGAGAAGCAATCTCCCATGGCTGAGCACAGGCAGCAGCACAGTAGCACTCCAGAGCATCGGTCATCCAGGGGAAAAAGTTCTGTTGTGTTTTACATACTTAAATATTTGCAGTAAAAAAATCTTTCACTTTCTTTTTATCCCAGGTAGGATACTGGGGTCTTGGCAACAGCTTGTATGGTTGTTCTCCATGTGACTGTGATATTGGTGGATCCCAGAATAACTTGTAAGTTAATGTTCTTCAAGTTCTTTCTTGGTTTTAATTTTTATAAACTCTTAAGCTAAGTTTTCCAATTACTTTAATAGAGTCTCAGTGCAAATGGGAGACACTGTAGGTGTAATTTCATCATATACAAACAGTGTAAAGTCAGGTTGGGATCTTCGGAATCTATTTGTGGTAAGGAGATTTACTTTTTTCCTTTGAAGCCAACTTTGAATCAGCTTGAGCCAAGATTCGTTTAATATAAAATATAAACTGCACAGCTTGAGAGAACCAGAGGCCCTAATATTAACAGAAATTAGAAGTCAGAGGTGACATTTTTAACTTCCTATAGCTACTTTAAAAGCTAGAAATATCTCTTTTTTTTTTTTTTTTTTCCTGATGTACTGGCTCCTATTCAAAATATATACTTTTAGAAGCAATTTGGGCTCCTCCAGGAGTCTGCTGGGGAGGGGTCTTCACTACTGCTGTTAGACTTCAGATGTAGAAGCGCATAGTCCGATGCTGTAGAGAAGCTCCTCGTGAGCAGGTAAATCAAAGCTGTTAATCATCTGATATGTTAAGTAAGAGTGTAAGTATATGAAAACTACCATATTGTGTCACATCAAAGGTCCTTCTGATCTCATGCCTGCCTCCAAAATTTCAGGTGATAGGTGCTTAAGAATAGTGATAGATATGGTAAGAGAGACAAGAAATGGATACAGGAATAGATAGTGATGAATACTCAGGAAACAAAAGGATCTGTGCTGCAGTTATGGAATGGACAAAGCATATCGTGTCTCCTAAGCAATGACAACGTAGCAATGAATAAATCCAGCATCAGAAATGGAGGAGGTGGGTGGTAGGAATAAGTTTATTAGGGGAGGTGATCCAACAGTGGAAGAAAGGAAGCAAAGCTGAAACAAGGGTGGAGCTGAGCTGCTCTTGCACCGTGAGGACCCAGCTATGCTGCACTCTGATGTCCCCCCTTTATCAACTCTTACTTTAGGTGCTCACCAAAGGATGGTCAATGCAAGTGTCTTCCCAACATCGTGAGCCGCCAGTGTAACGAGCCAGCCCCAGGCTACTTCTTTTTACCCCTGGATTATTATATCTATGAAGCTGAGCATGCAAAGCCCCTTTCTGGCTCTGCGCCCTTGGTACGTAGATGGCTTTTTAGGTGTCGTGCTGAGAGGGGATCCATGCGGTGGTGGCACAGGAGCCGAGGCTGAGGAGAGAAGCCCTTGCTCAGGGAGCAGCCAGAGTGGCTCCTTAGCAGGAAGATACAAAGCAAGTCCCTTGGCTGTCCTCAAATCATCCCTGTTCTTCGTGGACGTGACTATCGCATAACTGTGGCCATTACCAAGGGACAGTCTCTACAGCATGGTGTGACCTGCAAAGCTGTCCTTGCTGATTCTCAAGAGTGAGCTGGTCCAGCATGAATTAGACAAATTAATTTAATTATTTAAATTAGAGGAAAGTGTTTGAATTTCCAACAGCTATCATGAACTGTGATATTTCTGGGAATCTCCAACAGGGGAAGTATCAAATTCCTCTCTGTTCTATTGGACTCATTCCTACTGCCTTATATAATGGCACTGATTATAGCCCAATTTCCTCAAGAATTTGGCATCTATCTGTAATGTTTTTAGAAAAATTAATTTATTTTTTTTCCCCCCTCGACATGGGGGTCATTGTTCCCCATGCAGAGTACAAGTCTGGAATGCATCCCTTCCTCTGCCTATGTTTTTACTAACATTTCTTCTCTGATGTGTTGTCCAGAAGCTATAGAGAAGGAATAATTAAAAAATGTTTATTTGCAGGTCACATCCACAAATATTTAGCTATAATCACAACCAGTAATCATCCTACAGTCCAATAATTAAATGGAAAACAGATGTGTGGGACATAGCTTATGGGAGGAAGTGCAATTTAATTTTAAGGGAGTGAGGGAAAAGGGTTTCCAGCAGCTGCTGGGCCATAGTTTAGAGTGTCATCCAGCAGAGAATAGAGCTTGTTTTAAGAATGTGGATTTTCATTTAGCTGCTTACCTACCCTTCAAAATTGGCCCTCTCTCATTATTTCATAGGTCAAACCAAGCACTCTTCCAAGGTGTGACATTTACTTCCAGAAGCAAGGCTATGAGTTCACAATTGAAAATGGAAAGATTGTGTTAAACAGGAGCAAGAAACGAAGTGTAAGAAAATCTGGACTGGAACAGGTGAACTTGTATTTGAATATTACTTAACATTACACCAAATACTAAAATTTTATTTTGCAACAGGGGGCAAGGAAATGTCTGAGCGCATGGGATTTGCAGTCCTAGACGTTACAATCCTGACATAAATGAAATAAAATTTTTTGGTATGTGGTTGGGCCAGACATTTTGTAATTCACACCACCAGGTTTGCTCTATGTCCAGTCCCATTGTCGACTCAGGTTCAATGAATTGTTTAGAAGAGAAGAGCGCCCATGAAAAGAAAATTATTTTTTTTCTGGTTGCAAGACATTTCCAACTTTTCCATTTTCCAACAAGTTTACTAAGACGTTAATATGGTACCTACTGCATTTAAATGCTGTCAGCTTTGACATTGTAAGTATTGATAGTTATTTATTCAGTTTATAATGAAAAGTCCAGCCATGTATGAAATCAAGCTTAATTGGTTTAATGTCTGTAATGCGAATGCGTGGAGATGCCCGATATACAGAAATGGATGGATTATTCTAGTCCCTCTCGTTGCTGTTGCTGCAAACCTATAGGAAGCTTTTCTTTATATGTGACCCTCAACATCCTACATTTGGGATAGTTCTTAGAGATCACAGAATCACAGAATCTTCTAGGTTGGAAGGGACCTTAAAGATCATCTTGTCCAACCGTCAACCTAACTGACAAAAATAGACACCCACACAACAAACAAGGAGCATCATCACTAAACCATACCTCCCAGCACTACATCAACCCGTCTTTTGAACACCTCCAGGGATGGTGCCTCAACCACCTCCCTGGGCAGCCCATTCCAATGTCTGATAACCCTTTCAGTGAAAAAATTTTTCCTAATATCCAGCCTGAACCTCCCCTGGCGCAACTTGAGGCCATTTCCTCTTGTCCTGTCACCTGTGACTTGAGAAAAGAGACCGACCCCCATCTCTCTACACCCTCCTTTCAGGTAGTTGTAGAGAGCAATAAGGTCTCCCCTCAGCCTCCTCTTCTCCAGGCTGAATAACCCCAGTTCCCTCAGCCTCTCCTCATAAGACTTATTCTCCAGACCCCTCACCATCTCAAACTTGTTCAGAAAGTGAGGCTGACTAATGGCCAAAATAAGTAAACAGCATGGCAAAAATATTTCCTTTCTTTTTTTCTGAGTTTGTTTTTTTGTAATTTGACTGTGTATGTTGTTGAAAACGTCATTGTGTCTTTGCAGGGTGTGATGCAGTCTGGACAGGACTCGGCCGTGGCGGTGGTTTTCAGGCAGCCCAGCGCCGGTCGCTCTGTCACATGGACGGGACCCGGCTTTGCCCGTGTCCCCAGCGGAGCTGGGCTGAGGTTTGCCATCAACAACATTCCCTTTGCTATGGACTTTGATATCACCATTCGTTATGAGCCTGAGGTACTTGTGATGTCTTATGTGTCTTTGTGATGTTCTGATAGACGCAGGGTGTATTTTGTCAATAATAGGATGCAGCAACTTGTCCCACTCTTTATATTTAAAATTTGAATTGTTTGCCTTTTCACCCTTATCAAGCAAGTAACATGCCCTCCACTGATCCCCTTAACCCTTTCCACTCAAATCTGAAAAATCAACACTACAAGTGTTTTCTAAGCACCAGCCAAGAATTCATCTTCTGGAGTTCCTCTTTTAGTACCTTTGCTTGGACTGGATTATATCCACAAATCAGACACATGAAAAATGCAGCTACTTTCAGATGGACATCCTGTATGTCTAGCTGAGATTTTCTGGGCAGGAAAATGTGCACAGGTGGGAGTGATCTGAGTAGGTCTTTATTCAGGGCTTTTGCAGACATTCAGCTTCCCAGTTGCTCCAGCTGGGCTCTGAGATGTGTGAAAATTGTAGGAAAATAGCCAAAATCTTATTTTTTGCCTGGACAAAATTTCTCAATGATGAAGACATGTCTGGGGAAATCTGTTAAGCCAAATTTGGTTAAACCTAAGTCCACACCCATGTCTTCACAAACACAGACAAGTGTTTTGTCGGTACCAGTATTTGTACATGCCTTGGAGCTCCCTGGGCCAATCCCACCACTCCAGATCCTCCTTTCATCTATTGTCTTCTGTTCTCTTACTGTCATTCTGAGACAAACAAAACTCCCAGTTTCTTAAAACGTGAGAACAGTTTTGCTGTGGGCTGACTTGATGTAGCTTTTTCCTTCTAAGGACCAGATTAAACAGTTGAATTTTAAAGACTTTTGTTACAAAGTATTGTATGGTTGTTATTCCATATTAGATGCGAGAGGAGGCAGATAGTGAAGGATATCTCCTGGGCATCGCTGTGCTAAGAAAGGAAGCTCCAATGGCTTTAGAGGAGCTGTTTCCATTTGCACCAGCTGAAGTCCTATTTCTGTCTCGGCTCCTCAATTAGCCATTGCAAATACAGTGCATTTTTCCCAAATAACATTATTTTTTCACTCCTGTAAAGAGCAAAGAGAAAATCTGTTTTGTCACTGCAGTATGCAGCCATTCAGATGGCTTTTGTTAACCTTGGCAAAGAGAAAGTGGGATTTTCAGATATGAAAAATGACCATAAACTTTGTCCTTTGTTTATAGTCCTTGGAAGACTGGCTGGCAAGTGTTGCTGTCCAGCCTGCTGGTATTTTGTCGAGTCAACGCTGCAAAAACAAGGGCCTTTCACAGGAGCCACATGCGTTGCCTCTCCCAGCTATGAAGAGGTCTGACTATTCCCTTCCTTGGGCCTGTAGATTTTCTGTGTACAAATCTTTTACTGAAGCACTGCAGAGCGATAAATGTGTGGGAAAGAGGGAATATTAGAAACATATGTGTGGCCTTTCCTGTTGCTGTCAAACCACAGTAACACGTAGGCACTAAGGAAGAGTCTGGTGCTCCAGTCCTTGGCCTGGCAAAGGTTTGCCCAAACCAGGAGAGCAGCCCGAGATCCTGCTGGGGTTAGTTATTGCTTTGGCAAAGATCCAGCTGCAGCTATTTCAGTATAGAAGGGAAATATTGACTTAAAGTCGCTGTCCTAGGCTATTTTCAAAAACACTTTTTCAGTTTGGACCTATGTAAAGAGTAGAGAGGAGCCAAGAGGATGTGACCAAAGTCTTGATCAAACAGGGACAGGAAAGGACAAATACCAAGTGAGTTGCAAAATCCTTTGCTTGAAGTAGTAAAACCTGCCATTTTCAGTTTGATCTCGCCAGGTTTAAATCACACTTGGTGAGTCATCCAGGCAGAAGTCCTGCAGCTTTCCCAAAGGTGGGACCCAATGGGGCTGGGTGTGCTCCCCACAGCAGCAGGGCATGCTCAGGGCTGCAGGCATTAGGATGCAGGCACAGAGGGGAGGGAGAGCTCACAGCATCCCGTAAACTTGCTTTCTCCCCCCTCCTGGCTACAACTGTGCTTTATTTCTGCTAAACAGGATTGCACTTCTGCAAACTCCAGTCTGCCTGGAGCCGGGAACACAATATTCTGTGGATGTGTATTTTTCTCAGCCCTCTGCTTCTGACCCAAAGGCAAAATCATTCATCTTGATTGACTCAGTGAGTAGTTCTGTCACAATTCCCTTGAGGCTGTATTTATACCAGGGTGACTATTTTTTTTGCACAGACTTACTCAAAATATTTAAAAATCATTTATAGTGTGTTTTAATAGAAATTCAGGGAAGTGCAGTTCTGCTTACCTCCATTGGCACTGTGTTTGCATCCTTTTGTGTGAAAAGGCAGAACTGTATCTGTTTTAATTTTCATGGAGCAATGCCATAATATCTCATCAAGTCATACTTGTTGCATATTTTAATGGTCAGATTATTTATGTCTATCTGTTGCTCATTTATTATGAGCACACTCTACATATGCTGACAGGATGCTGTGGCTAGGGATATAAACTCATGCAGTTCTACATCACTTAGGTTTTTAAAAATCTGTGTATTTGTTTGAATCTAGTTTAAAAATCTTGGATATATTTAAAGATGACATTGGAAAAGTAAAATTAGTTCTGTCCTTTCCCTGGAATTGTGTCCAGATATTTCCCAACTTTCCACCAAGTCAGGAACAGAGTGTTAGTGTTGGGTCCTTCTCTTGAGAAAAATATTTTTAAGTCCATTCCTCTAATTACTTCTCTAGATCTGGACCTGACAAGGGCTGGCCATACTTGGACATGGAACGTTCAGCTGACTTTTCTCTATCTTGGTAATACTTTTGGAGTCACCAACATGGCACCTCTTAGAAGCCAAAGCAGTTCTGTGCAGTCTTACTATAATCTGACTTTTTTATACACAGTCTCTTTTGTTTGAAGAACTCAGGGAATGTCTAGACCTTCAGAATAAATGTGAATTTAGATGACTGAGCAGCACAACAGCAGATTTAGAAACATGGTGCTCCAGGCCTCTGTCCTTACAATGTGGAGCACAGTAAGAGAATGTGGGAAATTCTGGTTTTCAGTATATCTAAGCAAAAATATTTTCTTTTCCCTCTTAACTCCAAAGCTTGGACTTATTCCCAGAATCGGCTCCGTGGAGAACTTATGCAGTGAAATGGATTTAGATGAGTATCAGAAGTATCACTGTATTGAGATTGCATCAGAAGTTGGACCTCATGTCCTGCCCGAAGCGTGCACAAGGCTCATAGTGAGCATGTCAGCCCGTATTCACAACGGCGCCATCGGTAAGGAGCAACCTGCACAGGCAGCTCTTTTGGGCAGTTAGCAGTTCTCCCTTGAGTTTGTAGGATATGTTGACTGGAGAGCTCTCAGCCCATGGGGGTGCAGGGAAGTGAAGCCAATCAGAATGTGATATCTATGGACGTGCAGGATACGTCCTGCTGAACTCAGAGTGTGCCTTTTGGTGGCATGGCTCTTGGAGCCCATCACACCTGATGAGCTTCATGGAACAGCATGACAAGGACCATGGCAGTGCTTGTGTGTGTTTTTTGAAGAGCATTTCAATCAGATGAAGCTTCACCAGATGGCCAGACCACTAACTTTCCTAGTTTTCTGGATGCTGTAAAATGACAGAGAACTTTTTAAGCCCTCTCCCTGGATGCTGCAGGCTAGATGGATGCCCTGGTAGGACTCCAGGCATGATGGTACACAAGCTGATGTGGTGGAAGAGATTCACCAAGAAAACCTGAGTGGTGCACCAGCAAGAGGGCTGTGGCAGGTGGGCTTTGAAGCCCCAGGCAGTCTCCTGGACCCACTGCGGAAAGGGCAGCTAGGCTCAGCGGCTCAAGAGACTTCATTGGTGTCGGGACCAGAAAAATGGAGTTTCTGTGCACTTCCAGTAACACGAGGGACCTTTCTGGACAGCTTTGTTGACCAGCTTCTATCAGGGAGCCTTGCCTCCAATGGACCAATGGACCTGAGAGCTTGGTTTGGGCTATTTTTAGAAGATCCGATGCCTTGCTCACACATCATGTGATGTGGTCATGGCTGTGCAGTCACAGACCCCTCTCACTTAAGTTTGGGCTGTGCTGACTCCCCATTAGCTTGATTCCCATAGTGGCAGGATTGTCCCCGTGAAACATGGCACTTTGGCTTTCTAACGCTGGCTTCTGAGCATCCTGGACAAGCATCCTCTGTGAGTTAGCAGGCCAAGTCAGTCCAAGGTGTCCAGAAAGCAGCAGAGAATATACAGGTGCAGCCTGTCTGAGTACTGCTTGCAGGTTATGTCCAGTATTGCAGCTAGAGATAAATCTGTATCAAACCTTTCTAGACTTCAAGTCTTTTGGATCTACATTTTGCTGTGCTCCCTTCTATCCCATCCCAAAAATGTGCCATTTATGGCAGCTCCAACACCAAGACTTGTGCTGGTGCTTGATACACCATCACCATCCAGGCTACATAACCCAAGTGGTTAGTGAATCCCTGATGAAAATAATCAAGCTCTTTCCTTCCTATTTTTAAGTGCAAAACGTGCAAGTTTACGAGAGCAGTGACACTCCTTTATAACCATACCTGCTTTGATTTTCTTTCCCCTTGGCAGCCTGTAAGTGCAATCCCCAAGGATCGCTGAACACCAGCTGCAGTAAACTGGGGGGCCAGTGTGAGTGCAAAGCCAACGTCGTGGGACGCTGCTGTGACACCTGCTCTGCGGGCAGCTACGGCTTTGGCTTCCACGGCTGCTACGGTGAGTACTTGGCAGCCAGCACCAGCACCAGCATCTGGCTCTTCATGCGTAACCCAACTTTTTAGAGCTTTGAATCCCTGATCGTGTGTGAAGCCATATAAAAAATGCTTCCACAAATAGCGAATTGTCCTTCCCCGCTGCTCACGCTGCCTTCAGGCAGTGTCAGCGATGAGTGGGGTTGGTGGGAATAAGTTCAGGACACAGGTTTGCTTTTGGTGTTTTCCAGCATGTGAGTGCCACCCGCAAGGCTCGCTGAGCACGCTGTGTGACCAGGTGACAGGGCAGTGCTCCTGCCGCCGGGAGGTGGATGGTCAGCGCTGCAACCGGTGTCTGGCTGGGTATTTTGGATTTCCCCACTGCCGTCCTTGCCCATGCAATGGCTACACGGAGCTTTGTGACCCGGTGACCGGAGTGTGCCTCAACTGTCGCGGATTTACGGCTGGAAACCACTGTGAAAGGCAAGTTGATGGGCAACGCTGCAAAGCTCACCCAAACACTGGTGATCTCTGAAACACGTGTGTAGCTGGGGGCCCACTTACATCTCCAGGAATGCATCAATGACCATAACTGGAAACACATACCTAAACCCAGGATTAAACTGTGCCCAGCTGCTGAATGGCAGGTACCTGTTTGTTCAGCTGTCGTGATTTTGGCCGGATTGACCAAAACCAGAACGACAGATGGCCCTTTTCCACCCAGGACAGAGGAGAGGAAGAGATAAGGAGATTTATAAGTTTAGAATGAACTAAATTACTTTAATGAAGTATCAATATTAAAATTAAAAAAAAAAAAACCAACCCAGAAATAATGAAAATAGATACAATATATATAAAACCCTAACAAGCTCCTAGAATGACATCACCAGCAGGCACTGGGGAAGTCCCAGACTGAACTCAGCGATGAATGGGAACTGGGTTTCTGCTCTGGAGTTAGGAACACACAGATCGGAATCAAAGGCAGATGAATGGACAGAGTCCCCTTTGGATATCAGCCATTGAAGAATGAGAGCTGACCCTTTGATCCCTCAGCTTTTATACTGAGCGTGGGCAGATGGGATGGAATACCCCTGTTGGTCAGGTTTGGGTCACCTGTCCTGTCCACTCCTCCCCACAGGTGGGACCCCTCTATGCTTTTTCTGTTTCCAACCCTCCAATAGGGCAAATAACAAAATGAGCTGACCTTGGTTATTATAGCAATAAGTGTAACGCATACCATTCCTTGGCACAAAGTACAAACTTTGGTCTTATCACTCTGAGAACGAGCTGTTTTCTCCACGATATGCTGTTAATTTCAAAGAGTTTGAAGAAGCCTAGCTAAGGACGTAAAGTTACTTAAGAGGAAGTTGGTTCTGTTTTACCTCAAACCAGGAGATCAGCAAATGCATGTGGGAAAGTGCATGTAGTGCCAGTGGGAGGATGCGGGCACGGCACGCACACAGCATTGCAGTGGGCTCCCTGCAGGAGGGCATTTGAGACAGGAGCGCCACGGCACCATGTGCTTGGGGAGATGTGCTAAGTGCTGCGTGTGAGATACACTGACTCCTGCCAGCTTTTAAATTGCCACGAGGCTAACCTCATGCTGAATACTCGTTTTAATACCTGCAATTATCTCTGAGGAGCTTAAATAAACATGCCCTGTTTGCTGGTTCATATTATTTCCATATGACCAGCAAATGACTTTTCCCACATGTTCTAGCTCCGTTCAACACAGTGCTCCTCTTTTCTATTCTATACACTGGTGGCAGTGTCAGAGTTCAACATGGACACCAGAATTAAATTCGTTAGCTGTTCTGTTTAGTTTGGCTGGATTGTACCTTGTCATTCACTTTTAAGAGGATTTCCCCATGAAACCTATTGAGCTTTTCTTGCAGTGCTTTTGGACAATAAAGCCTTGGGCTATTGTGCTTGTAGGTGGCAAATAGATTAAAAAAGGGAGACTGAAATACTTGTTGCCCTGTGACTCTGCAGGAGCTCCAGACCCCAGGCTGAGGATAATCAAATAGTCAAGACTTTTAGCCTGGCTTATACACATAGAGAATTGTGTTCCCATGTGCCGTAGTAAAGCAGATCAAAGACTGAGGATGCTTCAGAAGTTGCGGCGTTGCCACAGCTGTGGGGCCACAGGGGGCTGGGATGTGGGGGCAGTGGTGGGTAGTATGGCGGTGGTGGCTGAGCCCCCAAAGAGCCTCCAAAGCCCCCCACGTGCCTGGGTAACAGCACACTCAGCACTGCCTCAAAACAGCCATCACCCTGCATTTGTAGAACATGTCAGACATGGCTGATTTCAATACGTATGCTGCATCTAAAATATGCAATATTTTCTGAGTTCTCTGAATGAATCATTTCTTTTTTGCCCATGCCAGGACTTCTTAATGTCATGCCAGTCACTCTGTGTGTGTGCATGGAAATAGATTGATATATGTGATGATAAGTGAATATAAAGAATTTTTACATGGCAGCTTTTAGCTGTCTATGAGAATGTGTGATATGTCACATGTATATACTATCATTTAGATTTAAATTGTTCCGGAGTAGGTGAAAGTCTTCAGAAATACTCCTTGAAAAGAAAACATATATATTTTTAAGTTGTGCTCCAGATTTTGGGAATGTACCTCTGATTTTCCATTTTAGAACACCTTTGAAGCTTGATATGTCTGTACCAATTAATGGGGATAGCATTACAATGACCTGGAATGTTAAATTAATTATACGTACATATAAATTGCTTCACCTGCAGGGACTGAAAGGAGCAGTTGATGATTTCTGCTGCCTTGTGTTGACTGCTTTCACAGGTGCATGGATGGCTATTACGGAAACCCTCTGAGCGGAGAACCCTGTCGCCCGTGCATGTGCCCGGGGGCTCCTACAAGCAATAAGTATTTTGCACGTTCCTGTTACCAGGACTCCCAGTCTGCACAACTAGTCTGCAATTGTCTCGAGGGGTATTCAGGTACGAAACAAAATACTGGGTTTGATTCTATTAAAGTTAATGTAAGAGAGAAAAATGACTATTGTCCACCCATCCTCTGTTCAGAGATGACAAGTGGGGTAATGGTAATAAAATAGATAAGAGTAGTTAACACTCAAATTTACTGAAATTAGGTGAGGAAGTCCTGACTGAGAAGAGTGGGAATTGTGGAATTAGTGTTTGAAAATGGGAGTCACCTATGTGGAGACAGTAAAGCAATTAATTAATCTGATGGCAAAGTCTGGAAACCACCTCCTTTCCAGGGGCACTACGTTAATCTGGTGGGGAGAGCCAGGGAGAACTGCAGTTGCTCATTACCTCTGAAAAACAAGCGTTAGAAGCCCAAATCAGAAAGAACAGGGCAACAAAAGGACCCAATAAGATTTCCTAATCAGAGAAAATCTTTCTTCATATAGAATAATCTTGCTTCGATGTTATGCCCAAAAGCGACTGTTTCACTGTTCAAATGGTTCATTTAGAAATGAGGTTTCCATTCTCAAATGCAGGTATTTTTGCAGCAAACTGGTGCCTTTCCTCCTAAGAACCCATTGACTTAGCTTTAATTTCTGCAGGGAAAACTAAAGATATTTCCCTCCCCCTCAGCATTAGAATGATCTCCAGTGATGGAAGTAAACCCTAATAAGCAACACTGCCAAAAACTAAATCAATGCTGTCATCTTAACTTAGGCCAGGTTCCTTTACATCTAAAGAACAGTTTTGCTCAAGTAATTGCTGTGGGACCAAAATGATCCCTGTTGGTACTCACCCAGGGGACTTCCACTACAATCCTCAGTCCTGGACTTTCTTCCTCGTGTTCCTTCCAAGCAAGGCTCTTGAGTGCCTCTGTGGCACCAGGCTCACTTCCTCAGAGACTGTGAAAGGCTCTGGTCCTGAGGACCACAGCAAAGGAGAAGGGGCCTTGGTTGAGGATGAGAGAGTGGATGAGGTCCCAGCAATACCAGCTTGCCCAGAAAGGTTTCTGAGATGCTGAGAGGTAGCACCCCAATCAGGGCAGGCATTGGGATGGTGTGCAGAAGTAATTGCGATGCCAGAAAGCAAGGACAGAGCATCCCAGAGCTCATTTGACCTCCTGGGGATCCTCCACTGTGTTACAGAAAGGAGGACAGGTATGCTGGGCTCTGGGTGGCTCCAGGAAAGGGCACCACCTTCCCATGCTCCTGTTGGGGTGAAGGCCCCAGGAAAAATCCTGCAAATAAGGCTTTGCTGGAAAAAAATGTTTGGAGATGTTGTGTGAGGGGGTTCCTATTTACTTTACTGAAAGGACTTTCTTCATAAAAACAACTTGGGATGAGGAGCATGTGTTTCCATCAGATTTCAGAAAGAGAGATGTAATTTAGACTGATAGAAGATTAAAGGGCAACAGTCACAAACAGATGGATATTTTCCATTGGAAATGTACAACTGGAACAGACAGTCTGAATCTTTTAACAGTATTACTGTAAATTACATGTTTTGCTTGAATTCCCATCAGCCAGCAAAATTTTTTACCTTCCTCTCTGACAGGCAACCAGTGTGACGAGTGTCCTAGTGGGTTCTACAAAAACCCAGGCAGCCCTGGGCTTGAGTGTGCACCATGTCCCTGCAATAACAACATCGACGTGACAGACCCAGAGTCCTGTAACAGGGTCACCGGGGAATGCACCAAGTGTTTACACAACACCCATGGAACAAACTGCCAGTTCTGCAAACCAGGGTATTTTGGCTCAGCCCTCGATCAAAACTGTCGAAGTAAGCAAGCAACAGATCTGCCGCTGTGTATTACTACCAAGAAAAGTTTTAAAGAAATTAGTCTACAGGGAGAGGTTAGCCCTTGGAGGGAAAGTAGAACTAAAGCAGATGAATGGAGCAAAATATGAGAGTACTAAATGTATTTCTATCCAGTGATACAAATAACTGTTAATATGGCATCTATTAAATTCTTTGTCATCCAAGTCTCACTAAGACTCATACTGAATATCACTCCTTGGAAATGCTCATTTGCGAAATGAAATCAGTACTCTGTTAGAAAAATAAATGTGCATTCAGCCCTCTCGGGAAGGAATGAAAACTAAAGGAATCAAAAGTAAAGGAATCAAAGATAATTGTTTAACCATGTTGCTGGCTGATGCCAACTAAGCAATGCTCAGTTAACCAGATGATCCCTGGCTGAGCTCTCTGCCTTGCCAGAGGTTTTCATTAAGTGGCTGGAATGACCCTGTTCAGGGAGTTTAATAGACTCCATGAGGACACTGGCAATAGCTCAGCACTTTTAACAGAAAGGCATAAATTTCTTCCCAATATTTTTTGAAGACTATTTTCACAAATGTGCCTGATTGAGGGTCTAATTTCTACAGACCAGGCAATTATAGATATTTTCAAGAACATTTTTTTTCTGGGATCTCTAACACACAGCTCAAACGCATTCCTTGTTCATTCTTGGAGATGTCTGTTAGAAATGGTTAAGCAAGAACTTTTGGCTCACCACAAGGAAGGCGTCTTATCTTACTTGGCTTACTGGGGTTTCCCACGCTGGATGGTGCCTACTGTAAATCACCTTCTCTTTACCCAGCATATTTAACATTTCATTCTAATAAGATTCAAAATTCACTACGCCTTCATTTTTCTGTGCTTGTGTGAAAAGCACTGAACGTTCCCAGTAAGTTTGCTCAAAGCTATATATAAGCTATTATAGGAAGACAGGTCAACTGCTTGAGATTAAAAATGTGTTCAAGATTACTAGAAGTAAACCTGCAACGTACGCTTTATATACAGCTCTGATCATCCATCAGCTCTCTGTATCATCGTCTGCTATAGTCATTGCCCTTCTTTTTCCAGGGTGCACGTGCAATCTGGTGGGTGTTCGCCCTGCCATGTGCCCAGGTGGGGACGCAGCCTGTCTGTGTGACCCAGTCACAGGAGCTTGCCCTTGTCTCCCCAACGTGGTAGGCACAACATGTGACCAGTGTGCCTCTGGCTACTGGGACCTGGCTAGTGGAAAAGGATGTCGGATCTGTGACTGTGATCCAAAAAACTCCCGAAGTAACCAGTGCAACCAGGCAAGAAAATTACTCTGTTTTCTGGGAACTGGGGTGGTGATGTTTTGGTGTAGGAAGGTGGAGACCCTTTTATAAATGAGGATAGTTTTGTGTCATGCTTCCTGAAAGCAAGAAGTCTTTGGAATTTTGCAGTTGGTGCAATCACACTTTGAGTCATTATATCAAATGTGCTGTTCTGAAAATGTGGCTTTGCTTGTAAGCAATTTCTCTTTGCCTGTGTGTTTCTTTGTCAAGTGGATCTCAGAAATACTTTGTAAGAAAATGTCACATGGAAAAAAACTGCCTTGTAAGTATATGTATAGGGAAGAAGGAAGTCCAGCCTCGGACTCAAGAGTCTTATGAGTATTTTTTCAAGTGTTTATTTTCATAAAGTAACAGCTGTGGCTATTACATTAATAATGCCTCATCTATCAGACTGCTAGAGTACCTTTTCTTATCTTTAATTCCTGTCCTTTTTTTAGGGCTAGAATGTAGAAAAAATAAAATGGTGTTTCAGAATAGAGAGGTGAAATTGTGGTCCCATGGAGTCAACAGCAATTTTGCTATTGACTTCAGAGCACCAGGAGCTTATCCCAAGCTCTTGCTGATCTGCTCTTACATTTTTCTTTCAATATGCTTTCTGTTTGTTACAGTTTATTAAGCGGATTTATTATTTTTTCTAGTAAATATCACTCTTAACCTCACAGAACTACTAGTGCTTTTCTGAGCTGTACCAGTTATCAGAGCTGTAATTCCCTGTGGTTTAATTTGATAGCTGAATTCCAACATAAATTTTCTAGGGCAATGCATATAACGTACCCTCGAGGTTTTCAGTTACAGTTAATAAACCATGTAGTCAAAAGTTTAAATGTTAAGATGAGTAATTTGTTCCAGCAAAAATATGAAGTTAATCTGTTTTGCAAAGGAAAAGAATCCTCTCTCAAATCATAGAAGATGAGTTCTCAAAGAGCATCTGTAGTCTGGGACGTACAAAACCCTTCATATTAGTAAAGTAACGCCACCTCTCAAAGTCCATTTTGTTTCCACAACCTTCAAGGGGAAGATGGGAAACGTGGGCCAGTACTGTATAAACCATGATGTCCAAAAGCTGTGTCACTGCAGTCCCCATACAGCTATATGACATAAATCACAGGGAGAATATGACTCTTCAGGAAGTTATTTAATCCAAACTGTCTTCACAGCTTACAGGCCAGTGTCCATGTAAGACAGGTTACAGCGGAAGATGTTGCAATGAATGTGAGGAAAATTTCTTTGGCAATCCCCAGATGCACTGCGTTTGTAAGTATTGTTAGCTGGGGACAACTGGATTAGAAACTGCCTCAAAAGAAATGTTTACATTTATATATTCCTAGGGAAGACAGGACATACCTCTAGAGAAGCAGGCTTGCATACGTTTGTGCCTATGAGATGGATAAAAGTGTTGATACTATTTATCTAGATCATTCCTCCTGCGGTTATGACGGGACCATGGAAGTTAGAGATGAAGAAGAGCCGTTAGCCAGGCAGTCCACTTTGCTCAACACCCATTTGCTTTTGTTGTCTTGAAATGCATGCTTGTACCTTTTGCATGCATTAACCCCACAGAAAAGGAACAACTGGATGTAACCTGCTGTCCCTTTCTTGCAGCGTGCGAGTGTAACCTGGAGGGAACCAGCCAGCCCAAGTGTGACAAAGTCACCGGCGCCTGTAACTGCCGCGCCGGCGTCACTGGCCGGTTCTGTGACCAGTGTGGCCGCGGCTTTCAGAAAAACTTTCCCTCTTGCCATCAGTGTCATCTTTGTTTCGATCAGTGGGACACTGAAATTGCTGCCCTCACCCAGACTGTTCAGGGGTTAATGAGGTTTGCTGCAAATCTCGAAGATAAAGGAGGACGAATGCCCAGCTGCGACATGCGCTTCAAAGCCTTTGAAGATGCCATTTCTGAAATTGAAAGAATTTTGAGACACCCTGTTCTTTCACTGGAGGCCCTCTCAGGCATCAAGGATTTTCAGGGCTACATTCAGTAAGGGCTCGGCTGCCTCGGAAAAAATCCCTTGGCTGAGAAAGCAGTCTTTCCCTGAGCTCCACCAGCAGTCCCTACACATCAAGTCCCACTTCTCATCAGCACAGAGATGTGGGATTACTGAATCACTGTTTTCAATAGATCTGTGAACAAAACAATCCTAATATATATTATCTGTCACCCACAAACATATACTTAAATGCTGGAATTTTCCAGTTCATCCCAAGGGTTTTCTCAATAAGCCATTACAAGTAAATGTTTCTGCCATTTAGTAGTTTATCTCTTGTCCTCTAAAATATTGTATATCTGAGTTCTAATTTAAGAACAATCCAGTCTGACTTCTGCATAACTGCCATTTCCCTTTCAGACAAAAATTTGCGCAAATGGATCCTCTTCACAGTAGGCTGTATGAGTTTCCTGACCTTAACAAGAATATAGAAGACATTGGGGAAGAAGCTGATCTAGTGTATGAACTTCTGCAACAGAAAATACACCTGCATCAAAGTTTTCATTACTTGAGCCTCAAAGGTAAGGCGGACAGCAATTACTTGAAATAGGTGAATATTTTCCATGAAATTTCAGAATGTTTCTTTCACCATCGAACCCTACAACATTTCAAAGATCCCTAGATTATAGCTTCCTCTGGTAGCTCAAAAATGTAAATACTATCAACATTTTATACTGACTTTCCGACTCCCTTTTATCTTAAAATGCCATGATTTCTAGCATCCCCAATTTCAGATGGATGTGCCAGAGTCACGTCAGTCAGAAGTCTCATCAATCCCAATGTTTACATCAGGGTTTAAAATCCACCCAGTTTCACAGTATAGACTCACAGATCATACAGTAGAACATTAAAGGACTTTTCCCCCACTTCTGACTCCTCTTGCACTTAGCAATACTTAAAGAACATTGTACAGCAATGGTTTGTTTAATTAAAGCAGAGGTCATAGTGCATAGTTCATAGTGTTCCCATGGGAAAATGCAAGACTTCATGTGGTAAGGAACTAGCTCTCCATCATCAAAAAATGTGAAGTCAGAACTGAGCTCGTTGGCATTTTTGAAAGAATTACACCGTCTGTGCTTGAGCTAAGAATAGTCTCCATCAGCTGCTAATAGCAGTAATGACAATGTCACAGGCTGGTTTCTGGAGAAAGATGGGGATGTATCAGTCAGGGATCTCGAACAGATGCTAGATGATCCACGGTGGCAGGAGATTGTCAGCGCTATTATACTATTCAAAGAGATGACAGCCGAGATATGAACCCACAGAAGAGAAGGTGTGCACCACAGAAGACAGCAGCTACAGGCAATGCACTCCCAGTTACAGTTCCTCTGTATTTCGTTCTGGCAAGAAAAAGATTAGCCTAGACAAGGTCAAAAAAAAAGAAGGAAAAGACAACAGAATACAAAACCAAGGGAAAGGAAGAGGGGAAAAGAGGATTAATTAAGATTTAGGGTTCCCCTGCCCTGTTGTACTTGGCAGTGCTGCCAGAACCAGCTCTTCCACTCAGGTCCCTGCAGGAGTGGTCAGCACAGCTCTCCCAGGCTCCCCTTCCCAATTCAACTAGTCTTGTGCAGACTCTGAGAAAGGCAGGAAGGCAAAGAAACAACAAATCCCAGGGAGGTCAGTGGATGCGCAGCTGAAGCATCCATGGGGCTCTCTGGTCACGTTCCAAACCCACTTTGTCCTTCAGTCTCATGAGACAGATTAACAGCCCTATAAAAAGCACATGGGGGTGTGGGGAGGGGAAGACCTTGAATTTAAGCTGAATTTCTGGTCAGGGCCACAGATATTCCTTGGTCCTGCTACCAAGCATCTGACAGCACAGAAATAACATTTCCCTCAAGATAACCAGCTTCTCTGGGAGAAAGCCTGGTTCTCTTACCCCATCTTTCTTTTGGGTCCAGCAGCACATCCTCGGCGTGGGTCTGTCTGCTTTTTCCTCTCTCTTTTTTTGCTGAGGTAGAGCAGGATATGGCCACATACAACATCTGGGGCACATTTGGCACTTGTGCCCTAGACACACATGGGGAACAGGTTCCTACCTTCCTCTCTTTGGATCAGGGCTGAGAGGCTTCCTCACAGGCACATGTTCAGCTGGCTGACCTGGAAACATCACTATCTAATGATGAATTCAAATCACTGGAGAAAACAAGACACAAGTATCCTCAAAAGAATGTTTGCACTTCATGAGATATCATTAAATTACGTCTTTCCAGCCTTGGCCCCTGGCTTTGCAGCCAGCGTGGTATGGAAATGCAGTGAGTGCAGTTTCCTAGGCTGTAAATCAAGCCCGTGCTAAGATGCTGTGTTTAACGTAAAGGAACTTGGAAGCTCTACAGCACCATCACAAACCAAGCGTGAAAAATGCATTTGGGCCACTTAATGGAGAGCTGAGCCCCTGTAAAATATTCCTGCAGTGGAACTGTTGCACAGAAAACAGTCTCTGGCTTAGATACAGAGTTACAGCAGCCTCTTGCCAGGTATTTTGTATTAGGAGCTAACTTTAAACTGTACATTGTTTCCAAGAGTTACGAGATAAAATAAATAGCCCTGGTTCCACACGATAACTAAACATTGTTCAGTTTCAATCAAAGCAAGGCCAAGGGCTTTAGAGCCTGATTCAAAGCACGCAGGACTTGACCAGTGCCTTGTCGTTGACTTTAACTAGTAACTGAGTCAGTCACCGGCTCAAAGGGGGATGTTAATCAATGACCTTTAATGCTTTTTCAGTGCTGCCACATCAGTTCTGGCTCATTGCATGTACTTCTGCCTGGGGATCTGGGGACAACTTTGGGTTCTCTGGAGATCTGGGAAGCCTCAACAGCAGCAGCCTTAAATTATGTATTTTCCAATAGGCCCGAGTCCGGCAAAAAATGTTATATTCTCCAGCCCTTTTGAGTCCACTTAAGGGAAAGCTTACTCTAAGCTTCTTGCTGGCAAGTATTTTTTGCCTGGCCTACAAACTTATCATGGAAATGCTTTTTTTTTTTAAACGCATCAACCCTGAAATTTGATTTTCCAGAGCCAAAGAAAACTCATAAATTCCCATTTGTAATCTAAATTTTGGCCTTGGTTCAGCAGACCATTTAGCTTCTAGGTGCCATGCTGAACCAACAGGAAAAATGCTTTCCTGACTCACAATCAGAGAGCTGATAATTTCATAGGTTTTACAATTGGCAGAAGCAGTTCTCCTGCCTAACGTTGAAAACAGCATAAACGACAGGAGCTTTATCAAATCAACTACAGCAGCAATGCTTGAGCTACTGATGAATGCAGACCAGTAGCTGTTTGTGTCATTAATGCCATCCCTTTCATACTTTTGTATCTTCCATTGGCTTCTTACACACTTTGGACTCTGAAGCATGACATGGGATCCACTGTATTTGCATCTATTCTAGTAGGGTTTATGAGTATCAATAACTATTCCTGTTTGGCAACTGGCTGAGTAAAGGATTAAAAAGTTTGACTGAGAAATTGACAGCTCCTGTTCCTCCCTGCTGTCCCAGTGGCAACATACTGAGCCAACTGTCACTCACCATTTGTCCAAAATTCAAGTAAATACATTAATTAAATGCAACCAAAATACAGTTGGTACTAAACCCTGTTTCTGCTGCTACAGAGGCCATCAGCAACATTAGGAAACACTTTGAAGTATCGCTGCTGGCAGAACAGAAGAGCAGTGGGACAATCCCTATTGTAAGATACTCAGAGTACACCAGGAACCAGGCGCTCGCTATGTTGTTGGGCCATCAGGCCTTGAACACAAACAATGTGCTGGAACAGCTCAAGAAGATCAAGACCCCCAACATCCAAAACTTGAATGAAAAGGTAGGTGCTGTGAATTTTGAATGTGAGCTAAACAAAAATCTCTTTTTTGATTGTTAGTATATTTTATTTTTAAAGGGTGCTTACATGCATTTTTAAATTTGGAAAATGACACTTCCCTGGCACAGACATGCAGTCACGTCAGAAACAGCTGCACATCTCAGCTGTGGTTACTACCACCCTTCTGGAAGCCATTGCTCCCAGGGCAGACCCAACACAAGGAATTGTTTAAGGGCTCTCTAGTCTCAAGATTATGTCAGTGTAAATCAGAGAGATTAACCCCAGCCTCCTCCATCAGTAACTTAAACTAAGCAGAGCAACTTTGCCCTGGAGTGGATGGGGAGTGCTCACATATCCTTTGCATCACCCATGGGAGAAGAAGGGATTTCTGTCTTTCTGCAGGGCAGCAATGGATACCCCACAGCACCTTCAGCAGGCCCTGCCAGATCTGGAAGAGATCATCCCTCTAGACCTTTAGTCTCAACATCTGTGTCAAACTATATGGAGGGCTAGACATGGTACCATGTTGTGTGAGAGGTGATCTGGATCTTTTAGAATAAGTCGTTGACCCATGGGCTGGATATGGCCAGGGGACAGTTTCATCCCTTTTGCCATAGAGGAATGAAGCAAGGGTCTTGGTGAAACACATGGAGCCCAATAGATGGCTCCTGCAAGGATGCTCAGAGCCATGGGCTAATGTTGTATCCTTCAAGTCAGGGGAGGACGACCTGTAACTGGCAGCAACACCCATCTTTGAAAAGACCAGACCATCTTCTCTTCACACACATTCTGTGTTCATATGTTCATGTGATGTCAAACATCTTCCTCCCCCAGGAATGTATCTCAGTCCCCCAGAGGAGTCCTGACATAAGCATCTTCTTATTGCAGATCTGTGGTGTGCCAGGAGACCAGCCCTGTGTCACAGCAGCCTGTGGGGGAGCTTTGTGCCGGGACAATAATGGACTCAGGCAGTGCGGTGGCCCAAACTGCAGTGGAGCTTTTCCTCTCTCCACTGATGCCTTCAGGAAAGCTGAGGAGACTGCTGTGTTGCTAAACAACTTGACTACTCAGCTACAGGAACCTGAAACTCAGGTGCTGTATATCAAACCTACATTTGTTCAGAGAAATGGATGGAGGATGGGATTTGGGAGGTCACAACTCTACAAAAACTCAGCTGTTCCCTGGACAAAGAGCAGTGACATAGTGATGGGCCCTGTCCCAACTTCACACACCTATCATGGTTCAGTACCAGGAGTATTATGTGCCAGTCCCACCAAGAATCTGTGGCTCTAGCTATGCCTTCCTCTTCCTTACAGTTGCCAAAATCTCATGGGTCATGGTGCCCTGTGCCTATGGAAGCTGGTGACATCAGGCTAGTGTTGTCTATATTTTTATTGGGAAAGATTCAAATGGCCCCATTTGTCAGTTGTCTGAGTATGGCCCATGGTTATTGCAGTGGGATTACTGCTGTGCACAGCCTTAAGCTCTATTTATACAACTTCATATGACTACTATGTTTGCCATTAAATATTTTTTGCAAATAATTTCAAGACTTTTCTGCCCCTGGAGATATTTAGAAGAGCATCAAGTAGTCGGCTGTACTGCACAGTAGCAGTGAAAAATAACTCAAGCAAAGTGTGGCCAATGCAACCTGTGCCAAGGAAACAAAACAGACAAATCCCGAAATACCAGTAAAGACAGTTTGTTCTTATTAACGGTCAGAGACGATGCCTGTTACAGTTATAGGCAAAACACATTTTCCAACAGAAATGTCACTCTGCTGTGGCTTTGTCCTGTCCCTGCAGGGTGCCAGGGCATCCATTTCCCCTTTTTAACACTCCACATCACAGCTAAGGGGGTTGGAAGTGAGCAATCGGGGCACATGCGGGACCCCAGGACACCCAGGGGCAGCAGCAAAAGGCATCTGCTGAGGTGGTGAACACCAGGCTGCTGGGGCATTGTCTTTGGTGCTCACAAGCCTCAGGCAGCTCTGTGATAATACGAGCGAAGAATTTTGAGATGTTTCAGAAGTAAAAACAAAACCATTTTTCATGTTGCCTAGGGAAACGGCGAATCTCTTCCCTCCACAGGCTGCAGAGAGGTGGTACATGGGCATTTCCTTAACGCAAAGCAAAATATCATTAGAATTTGATGATTAATCTAAAGTTAGTTCTATTTAAATTATAAAGACTACTAATTTAATAGCAAAATGTAACTTTTAAAGACAAGCCTTAGACTCTACCTTCCTTATGTGTGTACTCTTAAGTGTACTTTTGACAGCAAGTTCAATGTGGAAAGGCAAAGGAGATTACGTGCCTTTTCTGTACTGAATCAGATCACTGACATGCTACAGTACTGCAACAGAAAATAACAGTCAGAACCTTCTTTTAGAAACAGAAGGGACTGTGGTTTAGCACTGAGAGAAAGAAATGCTTGCTTTGGGCTTTTCTGAAACCAGATGAAGGCCATGATGTAACAACTGGAGTTCCCCAAAGGGATCTCCTACTACTTTTCAAAGCCACATCAAGTGATTCCAGCTGAGAGGCGGATCAAAACTGTCTTTGTGTCAGAGATCTACTTACCAAGCAATGATTGATAACCTCCAGAAAATGGCACTGCTATTTCTAATAATATTTCCAGGTTGAAAGCATTAGAAAAATGGCAGAAGACAGCAAGTTGAAAGGCTCACAATTTAATGGGCAACTGGAGAGGGCTAACAATCAAATTGAAGTTGATGGAGAGATCACTAAGAAGTTCATCAGAAAAGTGAAAGACTTCTTGTTAGGTAAATATGCAAAGTTCTTTTTGGCTGATTTCTGATATATATTCCAATATAATGTAGCATAATAGATGGCCAGAAAATTATCTGGCTGTGTACACATGAAATTTCTTCTTTATCTCCTGATCTGTGCAATCTTTTTCAATCCCTTTTTTTCTAGTCCTTCTTTCTCCTAGATGACCATACTTTGTTTTAATTTTCCAATAGATCTGTTACATTCTGATTGTCATCTTTTATTCTGCTTAATTATGCTTAATTTGAAGCATGCAAGTAATTCTCTCAGTTTCTAGTTTATCTGAGTAAAGGACTACTAAGATAATTTCGTATAATATATAATGACCAGGCATGTCCAATGCATCCTCAAATTGTTATTCCACCCCCTTCTTCCAGACCCATAAATAGAGGCTCCGTAGGGAGCGTGGGAATTAGGACACATACCGCTCCATCATCTCCGTAAAGCTGTAACTCAGGGAATCAAAGGATTCTGGTAGAACTTCACAGCTCTCACAAAAAATAACAAAGCAACCATATATACCCTAAAACATTTCCAGCCTTGCAATTGCAGAAAAATGCTGTAAGAAACGGACCCTAAGTTTTTTTACCAGATGCACATCAAAGGAGTTCAAATGTGGTAGGAATTTTTTAATCTCATAAATTTCTAAGGATTGCATGTTGGCAGTCCTTTGGCATTCATACCTCTACATCCAAATGGGAGCAAGGGCAGAGGACAGAGGACTTCCTTTGTTTGGGAACATTTTAAGTTATTTTCTTGAATTGGAAGAAAAACTCCATTTAAGTCCTTAACATTCTCAGATATTTTATTTTTATAGCAATGGAAAATTCCACCTTTGGCCTTCTTTTATGTTTCTTAATAGACACATGGCATTTATTAACAATTATAAAAGCATTTTTTCATGATTTTTTGTTTTGCAAATTGAAGTTTAAGAACTGTAACAGCTGAGATAGGTACAGTTACATTAAATTTGCTGTACTCTACATTGATGCGAATTCTAATTTTAGCTTAATATATTCCTACAGCAAATAGTTCTCAGGAATGCATTACGGTTTGCACAGTAAATGTCTTCTATTTAATTCCTGGTGAGCTACATTGGAGCATTAGCACAAACATTTGTTTCGATGGTTTTATCACTCAAGATCTTGTCTATAAAGGGAAGTGAGCGGAAAACAGAAGTGAGGATGAGCCTTCACAAGGCATTGGCTACTCTGTGTGCCTGTGCCTTTTAGCAAAGAACTAGGACAAGCTCGTTTGTAAGAGGAGTTGTCAAAATACATTTTTTCTTCTGTAAATTGCCATCCTATCTGAGTCTGACCCAAGTTCGCTCTGCAGCTTAGCCTTTCTCATTAACCAGCGAAGGAACCACTTTCTCAACATTGTGGTGACTCCAGGGAAGGGATTACATCTACTGGCCGGCTTGGAAAGCTCCATTCACATCCCAGTCTCTCCTGCACCTCTTTGATCTGGGGGCCAAGGGAGAAATGGGCTCTGACACATCTAGCTGTGCCGTGCACCGATTTAAAACCTTCTGTGGGCTCAGTTCTACATCAGAATTTTAATAACCCAGTTCAAAGTGGGTTCAAATCCTCATTTTAGCCAGTTCTGACAACACTAGCAGCGGTACCTGGAAGCGTAATATTAAATTACAAAATGTTGGAGATAATTCTCTTACCCCCTCACTGTGCCTGTCAGCCTTATTTTCCTACATAACTCAAAGGGTAGGCAGCCATAATCACCATTTACATTTCACTGGGAGGGAAGAGCTGCTTCAGGATATTCTCAGCTCCATTTCTGTTGCAGATGAGAGCGCACCTCCAGAAGACATTGAGAAGGTGGCGAATTATGTTCTGCAAATAAACCTTCCCCTGACTCCACAAGAGCTCACGGACATGCTTGGCAAAATCCGAGGCATTATGAACAACTGTGAGAAGTACAAACTGAATGGAAATAAGAGAAACAGAAAAAGGGAGGAAGCTCAGACGCTGCTGGTGGAGGCACAAGAAGCCGAGTGAGTAGTGTGTTCTGGTACTGAGATCCCTGCTCCAGCTGGGGTGGCACTGTGCACAGTAGGACTGCTCCATACACCAGGCAGTACCCTACTAACACTGGAGGAAAAGTTGAGGTGACAGCAGATTTCAGCTTGCTGTTTCCAGCAGGAAGGAGCCATGGCTGCTCGGGCTGCATGAGCTGACATGCTGCAAGGAGGCAGCTCCTGCCAGCTCTTGGCTCCTCTGCCTGCCGACTCAAAGAGGCCAAAGCAGTTGCTAACTTCCACATTGGACCTAGTGGAGCATAACATCTGGTTCACTGGGAGGTGTAAGTATGGGTGAGAAAGAAACAGCAAGAATTGGGGAAGGAGAAACTATGTTCACCTTCCTTACTAGCAGTGCCCCACCAGGCAGCCGCAGCGACCAGCCTCACCAGCAGCTCACGTGCTCCCACACAAAGTCCCTAACTGAGGTTTTGCTTTGCCAATTTATGAACCACAATTTTAGCGGTTGTTGCTGAACTTGAGGGAACATTTCTGCATGTGAGCCTGGGTGCATTTGAAACATGTTCTTGGTTTGCTCTCTGTACCACAAAACTACACACGCTTCTGTATTTCCATTTTAGCAAAGCAGCTAAGGCTCTTCCACCTGTGGATGAAATTAATAGTAAACTTAAAAATGTTGTGAAGTCCCAAGGACACTCCAAAAACACCTTCATAAAGTTAAATGAAGAGATACGAGGCATCAGAACACAAATCTCACAGGTATCCTGCTGTAAACCTTTAATTTATTTAGTACATATATTTATATTTCATCTCGAAGTTTCCTGAATGTAAACTTAAATAGATAAATCCAGAATGTGGCACAGATATGCCATTGAATTCCATAATCTTTAGGCTTTCTTCTTAATCAGTTGACAATAATCTCCCTCATTGCCACTCTCTGCAAGATGGAGAAACCACAGCCTTCAATTGCTCTGTTTTAGGCTGAGAACCAAGTGAACAAGACAAACGACGAACTAAATGACTTGTCAGCAAAACAGTCTGAGGTGGAAGATGAAATTGCCACATTGCAGGCAAAAATGCTGATGAACAAGAATCAAGCTACAAAGGCAAGAGCAGGGGCAGAAGCAGCACACAAACAAGCCCAGAATATTGATAAAGTAAGCCTTTCTGTCACATATTAAGGGGGAAAAGATTCAAAAATACTATTTAACCTGGAAGGAGTCAGAAATGTAATTGTACTACCCTGCTCTCCTCAAAGCTATTAAAGTTTTCCCTGTGCCACACAGTGTAAAATGTCACAGGTTAAGAATAATTTCTTTTTTATTTTAAGGCTTCTGGCACCTAATGCTTCTGTTTGCTTCAATGAAAGAAAACATACATATTTCTCTGGCTTCTTGGTGACATTTTTCCTTGCACTGTGTATAAGACTAGTAGTCACCATGGGCACCGGTAAACACAACAGAACAAATCACAAAACCAGATATTAAAATATGGGAGTGATGGAAGCAGCCTGGCCATTCATCCCATGCCATTCTCCTTCAGAGAAAATTGCTGTGGGAGTTACTTGGAGGTTTAGGTTGGCTTTTCAGGAGCTCTAATTTTTGAGGCTGGAGCTAGAAATTTGCTAAAATTGTGAGGAGAACAAGGCAGCCACAGCACAAGCTTAGAGCATGACCGGGCTTCCAGGTTATAAGAAACCATAGTCGAAATCTAAACTGCAGCCTCAATAGCAACCTAAATCAGCAGGGACTGGATTAGCCACTAAATATTACTACAGCCAAAAATGTAAAAAATCCCAGTGTCGTTACAGAGAATTCACTACATTTGAATTAAGCCTCATGGCAAAAAGAAATTTACAGAAAAGCCCTATTTTCCTTACATCCTTGCTGCCCCCCATCTCATACAGTGTTCAGTTGGATAAAGTTCATTCCTAGCATCCCTTTTTGGCAATGGGCTGGGAAGGATCCTCAATCAACTGTTATTTTGGATATGTTTCTAGCCATGCCATGGAAGAGGGACGAAGGAACGCTCAGGAAATGCAATGGCTAGCTTGTACTTGCTCCTTGGAAGTTACTGAAAAGTCACTAAAAAAAAGAGATGAGGTGGAAGCTATTTACATGAATTATTCTGATACTGGGAGTCACAGTCTGGTCATTCAGGAAACACAGTGAGACTCTCCAGGGACTTTCTGAAGTGTATACCCTACCTGCTGTTGAGAAAAGTCCAACATGCTGCTCATGTAACACCAGGTCAGCAGTGTTCAACTCTTTCCAAGAAGTAACAGAGAAGACTAGAGACTGTAGTCCTAGACTACAGACACAAAGGTAGGAATAAATGTTCTCATTTAGAAGCTCTTTGGACCAAAAAACCCCCACTTTGAGTAATGTAATAAAACCAGCAAAAGTATTCCAGTTTCAGTCCTTTTTCTCTCTCTCCCCCCCCCCCCCCCCCCCCTTTAGATTATTCCACTGGCAGTTTGTTTTAATTGATTTCTATCGGGTTTTACAAAGCATTGCTCAGTGTGCACTCATTATGGGTTTGGGGTTTTTTAAAGATTTAAAAGAATGAGAGATTTAAATTTTAGTTCAAAGAAGATATTAAAAAAAAGTATAAAAATTTCCTTCTGTATGCTACATTACTTATGAGATGCTCTTAAACTAAGTAACAGCATTTTGTTACAGGAATTTGCTGACATTAAAAGAAAGTACACCACTCTTCAAGAAAAGCTAAAAGCTCGAGGACCTCCAAAAGTAACACTAGAAAAAGTGAAGCAGCTGAAAGAAGAAGCAGAAAAACTGGCTGAAGAGACTGAAAAAAAAATTAAAAGATTAACAGGTGGTGTTCTTACTTCCATAGGGAGCAATGACAATTGTGACAGCCATGAATTAAACTGAAGTCCTTGCCCACAGACACTAACAGATTAGTTTCACCCAAAATCGGGTTTAAAACAATTTCAGTGGTGAAAATCCCTGCTTGAAGCTACTCAAACGGTTTAAAAGTAGTTGAATTGATTTGGCTTATGTACTTTTTCTGATATAAATTGGTTGCTATAAGCAGAGTTTAAGAAGTGTTCACATAGGGTCTTGCAGTGATTTGATTCAGACAGTTTAAAAACTGTCTGAAGTTTCTGGAAGTGCAAAATCTGCATAAAACTTGGCTGTAGATTCATCTGGAAGCCTTGATTGATTCAAATGCTTTGAGCATTTGGACCTTAAATCTTTCCTCTGTGTTCTGTCTTTTCTTACATTACCTGAGTGATGGTTTGTGTTACAGAGCTGCAGGGTAGCTGTTTTCCATCAGTCCATACTTGTTCCCCTTCTGGCATTATCTCTGAGCAATGGCAGAACAAACCAGGTACAAATACTGGCTTTTGGACACTGAGGCTGACGTGCCCTGGACCTGTGGGGTGGTGACAGAGGGGTCATGGGCAGCAGAGACCACAGCTGCTGCAGCCATACCAGCACTGGTCCTCACACAGACCCCCAGGTGGGTTTAGAGGGTCACCAAAAAGGAAGAGCACATATCATGTGTAATTGCACACAGGGAACCTAATTCTGCTTGTAGATTCCCCCTGGGAAATCTTGGGCCCAGGTTCCTGCCAGGCTTGATGTCCGAAAATACTGCATAACATCAGCAAATCTGAAACAGAAACAGGAGCAAATTCTTCAGGACAGGATACAAATAAATATTTCAAGCATATACCTTCAGGAGAAGCATTAAGAGCATCCCAGTCACTCCAAATGCCCAGATGATAAGTGTGTTATAAACAGACAGTGAATAATGTGGTTTTGACTCATTACCAGTATGTTTACATTGGTGGAGCTTCACAGGGACCAGGAGAAAACATTCCTATAAGCTCATTATATTCCAATAAGCCCATTATGCCTGAATTGTCCTGGCTTTACACACATCGGTGGACACACTGTTCCTCTGAGTGTTTCCATTTAAACCAACTCCTTTAAGAGCTCCGTGTCCTGCCTCATGCCAGCTGATGGACAAAAAGCACATGCTGAGAAATTGATTTCTTTAAGGCTGTCACGTTTCTCTTACTATCTGGAAGCCACATTTTCCTCTCCACTTGCATATATAACATTCCCCATTTGAAATGGGCTTATTGCCTCTAAGACTGCTGGGAAAAGAAATGCTCTTAATCCCTGGATTTTACTTACACAAGAAATATTAACATCACCGCATGTCTCTACTCTTCCAGATTTGGAGAAGAAGCTTCAGGACCTGAATCAAACCAAACAAGACAAGGCAGAGCAACTCAGACAACTAGAGGAACAAGTGATAGCCATTAAAAATGAAATAACAGAGCAGGAAAGCAAGTATGCAACATGCAAAAGTTAGGATCTGAGCAGACCATCAGGTAAAATGCAACTGAAGTCTCCGTGCTTACCATCTCCTGAGCTTCCTGGCACATTTACAGAGGAGGATTGTCCTCTGTAAATAAGTCTGAAGGTGCCTGTAGTATCTTGGCACAGTGAATAATGTAATTTTCTCTTGGTTTTTTGTCCAGTTGAGTTTATATGGAAATAGGAAATGCCATTTAATAAACCAGCCAATTGAGTAATCAGGTTGTAATCTTTGAGGGAGCTCTCTAGTCCACTCGTGTGCACAGCCTAGGGCTTCTCGCTGTAGGAGGCTGGAAATGCAAGAAGATCACTGAGGGAGCTGCAGGTACTGCCTCAAAGACAGGCTCCCAACACCCCGTGTCTTCTGCTGAACCCTTCAGTAACCTGTGGCCGTGCCTCCACCCCACATGGGGCTGCACAGACTGGAATGGGGCGATGCAGATGAAGGGCTGAGGCTTCTGTAGCCACCCCTGCTGACAACCGGCAGCGTCCTTGGGGTACCGTCACTCCTCCATCTCTTCACTGAGACAGAGCAGGGGGGGCACAAGGAACCCCATACCATGTCGGGGTCCCCCTCCGTTCACTGAAAATGCACAGCGATGGGCAGGCACTACCTCCGTGCAGTGGTGGGCCATTAGGGGTGGGCGACAAGGAGCCAATTCCCCAGTGCCCACTGGATGGCAGTGCACAAATGCTTAATGCTGAAAACAACTTCATTTCTTTGTCAATGCCCCTCCGGCAATGCCTATTTTTCTTAGAAGGGGTTTCTCACATTTTTCGCTAACGCAACCAACAACTGGAGAAAAGCTCCAGCTCTTAGGTTTAAGCAGTGAGCCTAAAGCACCACAAATGTTGAAAAGCAGTTTCTCCAGCTCTTCTCCCACATGCAACACTTCCCAAAAGACAGAGTTCACTCAGAAGTTTCTTGTAGCCATAAAGAACACAGGAATTGTCCTAAATATTAGTTTACAGTTCCATTTTTAAAATACATATAAAGAAGGAGACTGGGGCTAAGCAAATGCTACAGAAGGACTAGTTTTAAAAAGGCTAGAGTTTTAAAAAGACTAAAGGGAGCTACGCCTCGGTTTCAAAATCCCACCCTTGGTATACATACTCCTGCAGGACACTGAACAGACTCATGATGGCTTTTTCTCAGTCCTGGACTGTCCCAGTGAACATCCATCATGGACTTCGTTCAGCTGGTGTGAGGAGCCCAGCGCTGCTTCAGAACTCTGACAGAGCCCAGGCCATGTCTGTAAAATGAGGAATGCTCAGCAGGAACACGAGGCTCTCAGCGTTTACCCATCCTTATGCCAGCAGCACCCTTAAAACAATCCTTATCTAAAAGCAAGCGTTGTTTCCATCCAACAGAGATAAACCCTCCAGAGTTCTCAGCTGTGTTTAGGAGAGCTGAAGCAGTATTCCTATGCGGGGGGCTTGGGTGGGAACTGCTGGCACGCATGAGATTTCAGAGATGTTTCTCTTAACTCAAAGCAGCTGTGCTCCAGGGCAATGTGCAACATGCATCACATCACCCATATAATAGCTCCTATTGTGAAAATGATGGCATCAAATTATAACTTCGATATAATCTAACAAAGACACCTGAATTCAGGTATGCACGTAATTTGCGGCTTAGCTTTTTCTGAATTTTAGCACCTTCAAAAAATCATCGGTGAGGTGTGAGGCTTCTTTGTAAGTCACTAGGCTGTAATCAGATGAGTGTATTGAGATTGACTTTGCCATCATGAAATGGAGCATCTCTGTTTAACTTGGAGGACACGACTCACCCAGCGGCTCACAGGCAGCTCTCCAGGTAACGTGGGATTTCCTGCAGGTTTCAATGCGGCCCCGCAAACTGCAAAGTGCTTAGATGGAAATTCCCAACTGCACATAAGCCAAAAGTATTTCATTCATGGCTTTAAAAATCTGAATTCACAAGCAGAAAGTTGAAAGAGAACTTCCTCCTAAAATCCACTGTTGGCTGTGAGCGTTGCCATATGGCTTTCGACAAGCCCCGAGGATGAGAAGTCTGTAAACACAAGGCAGTTAAAGAGGAGAGGGGAGATGTATCTGGGGGAGGGGGGAGGAACAGAAATCGCTGGAAGAAAGACAGAAACAGGAAAAAGAAAGTCAGCGTGGAGTCTAACCTCCCCTGCCCACCCCCCAGCACGCTCAGACACACAAAGCGAGCAGACCTGATGGGACCAGCAGCTATAGAACACCAAATCCATCCTGCCACAGCTTCTGAGGGTTACAACTGTGCAGTGTTCCCCGTTGGAAGTGGCACAAAATTAAAGTGTTTTTGCAAAGTTCATTTGGGGAAAAATGCTGTATCTGGATAAAAAAAATGCCTATTTTTAGTCCCCCCTGGCTTCTTCCTTGCAGGCGAAAGTGGCTTCAGAAAACTTTCTTGGAAAAAAAATATTGAAATTAGTGTCTTGCTGTAGAGCATTTTGACTTCAACATCATCAATCAAAATGCAAACAACACTTAACCAAACTTACAAACAACACTTAACCAAATATAATCAAAGATATATTTAATCAAAAATAATCTCATCAGCTTTATTTGCTAGGCGTTCCACCACTGCAGTGTTATGAGAAAATGAGTGATCAAGTGTGTCCCACTGAGGTCAAGTTCTGAAATCTGGTTGAGAAGACTTCCAACCCAGCACAAACACAGACATCCCGGGACTGTAAAGCTTCTTCACCAACCACAAGGACAGGACACGACACAGAACAGGAATTTTTATCATTTGAAGAATCAAATTAAAATACTCCCACTCACTATTGCTCACGAGCACTGCAGAGAGGGATGGACACAAACAAATTCTCTGCACCTCATTACCCACATGGTGAATGGTGGTGGTTTTGGCTACCTCTGAAAGGTGGCCGTGGTTATGGGTGATGGTGGCCACCCAGGTCTGTGGCGATCCCTGATGCCACACAGCAGGGTGACCCCCAGGCACATTGTCACACCATCCTCAGCAAGGCAGGAAGGAGCCTAACCACAGCGGCAAGGATACAACTCCAACTCGATCCCTGATGCCACACAGCAGGGTGACCCCCAGGCACATTGTCACACCATCCTCAGCAAGGCAGGAAGGAGCCTAACCACAGCGGCAAGGAGCTCTGGAGGGCAACTTTAGCCCATTTTAGGTTTAGGGGAGGAAAGGACTTCTACAAGGCTATGGAGCAGGGAGAAAAAAAAAAGAAAAAAAAAAAAGAGAGAAAACATCCATGAAAATTGAAAAAATACGGGATGGAAAAAAATCTAGTGGCAATGAAACACTCTGTCCTTGCACAGTCACACAGGGAGTGATGCTTCTGCCCATCTGCCACGGACTGGAGGAGTTTCTAACCGCAGCGGAGTGAAACATTTTCTGTTAGTGGGACAAAAATATTTGTTGTACTGAAGCTTAAAAACAAAGCCGTGCTGTGATTTACATGACAAGGTTGTGAAACTGAATTAGTCTTGTGAATTTGGAAGACCACATCGCAGAAGAGGTTTAGAATTACAATACCTGCCCTGGCAGCTTAGAACGGTTTAATTTCCTGGATATCTTTAATGAAACAGCCCCACGAGCTCTTCAATCGGGAGTGCTGGGTTATGTTTCAGACCTAGTGTTTAACCTTTAGGGCAAGTCACTTGGTACCTCTCTGTTTCTGCTTATCCATCTGTAAAATGAGAATGAACATATTTACCTTGCCTCGGCAGGGTTTGCTGGGACAGACAGACAGACCGTTTCCGCTCCGGCACTGCAAATACCGAGGGCAAAGTGTTCTTGAGGGACAGCAGTGCCTGGTAAAGATTTACACCAGTGTATGTGTTACACGTGCACAAGCAAAACTCGGGTATATAAACCCAAACATCCATCCCAGCCTCCACTGCACTCTTCAAATGTGTTCATCCTTCGTACCCGCTCCTTGGAGTTTATTTACCAGTAAATCTTTCCCCTGGGTGTTGAGGGAACTCTGCTGCCAGCAGGTGAACCCCTGTTTCCCCCAGCAGAGCCCAGGGAAGCGAAGCAGGAGACCGGGAGTGTGGGGGCAGCCCCAGCCCAGCCATTCATCCCCAGCAGCACCACAAGCTCCCAGATAATGAGAAACAGCCTGGCAGCACCCAGACTGGGCCTGATGGGCCTCTCTGCCCCTGGGTCAGACCCAGCCTGGATGCCATCCCCAGGAATGGCACTCCCAAGCCCCCTGAGTTGGCACCACTGAGCATCACACAATGGTTGCCAACCCCCTGGTCCTTCACTGGGTGTTGGACCTTGCCATGTGGGTATGCTCCATCCACCATCCATGAGGATGGAGCATATCCATGAGGGCCACAAAGATGATGAGGGGCCTGGAACATCTCTCTTACGAGGAGAGGCTGAGGGACTTGGGTCTTTTGAGTCTGGAGAAGACTTAGGGGGCATCTGATAAATGCATACAAATACTTAAAGGGAGGGCGTCAGGAGGACAGGGCTGGTCTTTTTTCAGTGGTGCCCAGTGACAGGACAAGAGGAAATGGGCACAAACTTGAGTATAAGAATTTCCACCTAAATGCAAGGAGGAACTTCTTTACTGTGAGTGTGGCAGAACGCTGGAACAAACTGCCCAGAGAGGTGGTGGAATCTCCTTCTCTGGAGACATTCAAAACCCACCTGGACAAGCTCCTGTGCAACCTGCTCTGGGTGGACCTGCTCTGGCAGGGGGGTCGGACTAGATGATCTCCAGAGGTCTCTTCCAACCCCATGTGATTCTATGATCCATCCATCCCTCCCGCCCAGCCCCACCAGCACCCCCGGCAGAAGGCAGGATTGGGTCAAAACCCCCATTCCCACATTGTTGCCCCACAGACGGGGGCAGGGAGGGGGGTTGCCCTGTTGGTGATCCTTCCCTCCCCCGGCCTCCGATTGCTGCCCCCCGCCCAGAGCTGGGGAGCAATGGGGAGGGCACGACCCGTTGTGCTGGCGGAGGGGGGTCGCGGTCCCCCCGCTCCCCGCCTCGGGGCTCCCCGGTTGCAGCGGGGAGGGCGTCCCCGTCCCCTGCTCGCCGCCGGGCCGCTCTCCCCAGCCCCCCACCCCGCCC